CACCTCATCTGGAATTTTATGTCCATTTCTGGGCACTTTAAAAAGGGGTGTGGTACATTGGATTAGACTTTTAGGGCTGCTGTCATTTTGTTGTATGGAATTCATGTTGGCCTGTTTTGATATTACTGCTTAACTTTGATTTTATGTATTTCTACTCTGAGATCTTTCAGCAAAGGCAGACTATAAAAATGGCAAATTAAAAAAACCATCAAACCCGCTTCCAATCTATGCCTAATCATCAACTTTTTAGATGACTTTGACCAAGCCAAATAAATTATACTCCGTTCAAACTATATTTTAAATGTTAAATGGGATTACTAATTACCTGTCTCATATGACTCAGTGGCAATGTTCATAAGGCTATAACCATGGTCTAGAACACGTTTGGGGAACCTAAGGTCTATGTGCAAAATGGAGCCCCCTCCAGGCCCCTCTATCGAGTCTCTGGCCACACCCCTTCTTCTCAGGCCACACCTCTCACAAGCCCTATTTCTGTAGTCTCCTCAAGTGTTTGATTGGCTGGAATGTGTCCTTGAACTGTGATTGCATGGATGAAAATATGTGAAGGGGTGGGAAGAGACACTTGTAGAAACCTCTGACTTTGCATGGCTGGAATGTAGCCTACTCTACAAAGGAAAGAGTAGCATCCTTTGCCCCACCTACTTTTGCCTCTGGCATGCAGACCCTACAATTTTTTCCACAAGAGAATGTGGCCCTCAGGCTGAAAAAGCCTCCCCGCCCCTGCTTTAGCATGATGTGCACAAGATGGAACAATCCCAACAGTGGCATCATCAGCCCACATGGCCTGGAAAATTACTCAGACTGCATTTTGCTTCACTCTGCCTGAATCTTATGACAATAAACTCTGGTTAGTTTAACAAGACAACTTCATAACCCATGGTTTGGAATTAGCTTGTTCTAAAACTGACAGGAGCTTGCTATAAAACATAAGCCAAACAAGAACCAGAGATTCAGAGGCAGTGAAACAAAACAGTCAAAATTGTTTTCCATGCTGTGATAAGGCAGCAGAAAGGAGAGAGCAATGCAGAAGGCTGAGGTTCATCCCAGCTCATGCACATCATGCTAAACCACAGTTAAGTGCAGGAGTTGCCAACAATTTTGAAATCACATGCGCCAGTGAGTGATCAGTGAATATGTACAAGGAGGGTAGGGTTAGCTCTTCCCTCCTTGCGCTGCCCTCCTTATCATAATAATGCACCCCTACAGCCTGACACACAGCTATTTGGGAGCTAGGGCAGGCTGGCTTACATACGCAGGATGGTGTCTGGGGGTGAGCCTCTGCCAGAAGCTGCTCTAGGAGAGTCAAACATTCAAGGAAATAGGGAAAATGACTGGGCATTCAGCAGTGTGTAGGGGCAAAAGGAGAGTAAAAAAAACTGGCAAGAAACATTTGGTGGTTCACATGTACCGACGAGCTGCCCATTTGCAGCCATGTAAAATGTGTAACTGCAGCCTATGAAGTAATTATTGGACAGTACCTACCATACCATGCAGTGTGAAATAAAAGATACACGAACAATTTTCAGATTAAATAAGAAAGTAGTTATTTCACATTACTGAAGTGAAATAATTCTTACAAAATATAAGCTAGGAAAGGTATCTAGAGATGTTATGGGAGCTCAGCAGCTTCCAGCTTCCATGACCAGTAATAATTATTCAGTTACCTCTCTCTTTGTGATCAAGAAAGGGCACAAAGGGGGCACAAAACTAGGATTAGGGATCTTTTCAGAAGCTACATCTATTGGGGGGGAGGCATCATCCTCTGGCAATCATGTATGTAACTTTCTTCAAGGTCATGTTTAAACCTCATAGATTGTTGTCCTAACTGTTCTGTAGAAAGTGACATTTTTTAAATAACATGTTAACACTACAATGAATGTATATCTATCCAAAACAAAAACATAGTGTAAGAATGACCCCTCAGGCCCAAAGACATTGAGCAACTTGTCCTCGAGGTCACACAGCATAACATTAATTTGACTCAGCTCAACTGGTTGCTGGTCATACTTCCTACTAATTTCATTAAAACTAGTTTCCAAATAAACACACTTAATACTGCAGCCTAATAGAATTTTGTATTAAAAGCTAAGTCATTGATTAAATAAGGACCATTGAAAGCACACAGTCTAAAATAATTGTAGGAATACTACTTTGTATGTATTTGTACAAAGTACATCATGAAAAATGTATATGCCTGAATCAGACTTGCCCCTTCTTAAACACAATAACTATATTGGCCTAACTTGTCAAAATGCAATATAGAAAAGTTATTATTTACACATGGCAACTATTCTGCTCGTAACTATTTCCTTGGGAGTCAAGCCGAACTGAATGAAAACAGTGTGGGGAGGGCAAAAGAAGAAGATACATGTTTTGTTTTCACACATTGAAAGATCTAAAATTAAAGTGAAATCGTGGCACAATTTTCTAATGAAATGAGCGTTTCCCCCCAAAAGATATACAAAGGCCTCATTTGGACTATGTCTTAACATTATGTGAACAAACCTCCCGTCCCCAATGTGGTCATGAAGAGATCTGCTGATGTCACTTCCATTTTCAATAAACCATAGCATGAAGTTGACTAGTTTCAGTAAACCATAGTTAAGACTACCCAGTTTCCCCAGCTGCAGTTAGAAACAGAACAAAAGCTTCCCATTTCCTCCACACATCCACACCAAAGGAGAGAGGAATATACGAGACTGAGGCTCATTCACAAAAGACTACAACATTGATTAGTGTGATATCCAAATGAGGCTAAAGAGTACCTCCAATTCTCTCCAATACAGTGGTACCTCAGGTTAAGAACAGTTTCAGGTTAAGAATGGACCTCCAGAACTAATTAAGTTCTTAACCCGAGGTACCACTGTACTTATTGATGTAGCATATAGGACATTCAATGTCACCACTGCATTTTAATATGATGGTTGTTTGTTTTTATTTGCTTTTATTGTGTAAAATGTTTTGAAGACCTCTACTGTAGTTGGAAAGGTGGAATATAAATATTTTTTTTAAAATGACAAAGTGTATGGTTCTCTCACCAAGTAAATTATTTATCTTGCTGTGATCCTAAAGGTTCAATTTGGATTAAATGCATGATACTAATACAGTGGTACCTCGGGTTAAGTACTTAATTCGTTCCAGAGGTCCGTACTTAACCTGAAACTGTTCTTAACCTGAAGCACCACTTTAGCTAATGGGGCCTCCTGCTGCTGCTGCGCCGCCGGAGCACGATTTCCGTTCTTATCCTGAAGCAAAGTTCTTAACCTGAAGTGTATGTAACCCGAGGTACCATTGTAACTAAAATAAGTATTTTTACTAAATTGCTTCCCCATTTAAATCTACAACAGCATTTATATTAGCAATTCAGAAGTAGAATATATTGCTACATAACTGATAATTAATTGCAATACAGCAATCATGACACTCGTATCACTCTGTTCCATATAGCTGATCACACAAGATATCATACATCAAGGTCGGACTGCTGCAATGTGCTGTACGCAGGACTGCCATTTTAATTATATGTCTTGTCATTACAGTTGACTCAAAATGCTGCATCCTGCTGTTGACAGGGGTCCATTACTTGGAGCATGCAACTCTGTTGCTACTTCAATCCACAGTGCTCCAAATGCAATTCCAAGCCCAACTGAAAGTGCAGGTGGTTACCTTTAAACCCCTATATTAGGGTTGCCATATTTCAAAAAGTAAAAACCAGAACACCCCAAAAGTTGTTGAGGAAACCACCAAAATTGTGGAACTTGTTGTATATATAAGATATATCTGGTGAATATGAAGGACAGGGCCTTCTTGGTGATGTCACCCTTGGGAAGCCAGTTCAGTGCCGCCACCCCCACTACCACTTTCCCGGTTTTGTTGTGTTCAGACATATGTTTGATGTTATCCAATCTCCGAAGTAATGGTTTATCAAGATGCTATTTTGGTTTTCTGGTGTTTGTTTAAACTGATTATTTTATTTTTGGATTGTAATTTTATTATGTTTTGTAAGCTTCCTTGGGGGCCCTATGTGGTGTCCCCAAACAGCATTTAAATATATTTAAAGAATAAAACACCATTGCCCCCGAATGAAACAAACTTGGTAGATTCTCCTAGACCCTAAGTGGAAACATCTTATGAAAGCCACTACTATCCAAATGGACTGACTTCAGAAGTCTGGTTGAGAGATGCTCTGTAGTCTCTGGTTGGCAAATATTTTTTTTATCATTTTTTACCAGAGGGAAAGGCTGAAAGGACAGTAACATTGGCTTCACCCAAGCTAGGGCACAGGCAAAGACCTCTTTGATTTCCTCATTCCTAATGTAAGTGTAAATAGAGGACTTGGCAGGCACCACCTAATGCACCTTATCCATTCAAGATACAGGAAGACATGGCAAAATGATTTTTAATCCCTCCCTTCCACATTAACTTCATGGAAAGTTCTATCAAAATTTTCATTCTTACACACCTTACTTCCTTTTGCTAGCTTCTTAGTTAATGCACTGGAATAAGAAACTGATGTGCATATTGAGAGGGCAGCCTGAGATAGCCTGGGTAAAAGAACAAAACTGTTTATCCCTACCATAGGCACAAACATGAAGTTCAAAGTCAGTGAATAGCAATAAGGAGCAACATGGGGGGCGGGGAGAGAGGAGAGAAGAGAAGAGAAGAGAAGAGAAAAGAAAAGAAAAGGGATCAGTCACAAAGCCATAAATCTGGAAGAACAACTTTGTAATCTCATGCATAGGTCAGACTTAACAACAGTAATTTGAAACTTATTTCCTCATTTTCAGAGTTTGTATTTCTTCACCAAACATGAAGAAAACTCACCCAAAATGTTACCGTAACTATACTGAATTTGAGAGAGCCACTCAATAATAATGACAATGCAAGACTATTCGTTTGGGACCGTATTTTTTATTTCCTTCCCTACATATATATATCCATTCAATTAGGTCATATGCTGCTTGAGAAAAGCCACTCACAGAAATGGGTCTGGAAATTTCCAGGGTGCCTGGACACCTAGGTATCAAAGGATTTCATGCTGCAAACTCTGATGGCCCTTCTTGAATACTTTGTTCAGGTTTCTGGGTTGTTGAGATATTTTTCCAGACCTGCTCCAGAGGAGACTAACATTTGGAGGACTGAAGTGTCATGGAACTGCTGAAAACGACAAGCCAAATATGAGGCCAGGAAAGTTTGTTTACATATATCCAACAACAAATTTATACAGTTTACCAATTAATATTGTAAGCACATTTCAAAAAGTCTGCATATTCTTGAAACAGAAACAATGTCTCTGTTTCAATCATCCAATGAATTCACTGTGCATGCACACACTGACCATTCTGAAGGACCTTCCACATACTTCACATAAGGTTTAATGTCTACCTAGCAATGTAGAAATATGCTTTCCTATAAATTACTTAGTCCTGGTGTGCAAACACCTTAAAGTCATTAAATATGTGAGAAAGAAGCTTCTTCATGGTCTACCACTGAAAACCAGTAAAATGCAAACTATTGCAGGTACAGTATATTGATATGATATCACACCTGCCCTGCCAATTATAAACTTTGGCACCACAAGTGTTACTCTGAGGAATGACAACTTTGTTTCAATATATTTGCAAGTAGTACATACCCAGTATCATTTCTCTTTTCATGTACAAGATTTGAATTGAAAAAACTGAAGCTGCTCCTGGTTTTCAAAACCCACAACTAAAAGATCAGGACAAGACAAATACATTACCAGGCTTCTACAGGAAAAGGGAAATGGTCTCTCTCAAATTGGGATGTGCTATAAATAAGACGTTTGAAACTGTATGCAGTAGATTTATCAGTGAAGCCTCATTGTATCCTAAATGGAATCTGGCAGGGAGAGGCTGGGGAATGGAGTCCCTGACTCCAATAGGCTCAGGTTGGCAATGAGATGCTATGTGAAGAAGAGGAAAGATTTGTTGAGTGGATGCAACCCAATGAGGTGGGGATTCACAAAATTTGAAAAACATTGGAGGAGCAAAGAATTTCATAAACCAGAACCACACTCCACCTGCAATGAGAAACCACTCACCACTAAATAATGGCAATAAAATGGGATGTATCAGAGCAATGATGCCACATAGGGGTTCTACTCAGAGTAGACCCACTAAAACCAATTAAGCAGGCAGGCAAGATACATCAGGGTGGCTGTTGGCTGCCCTGGGCGTCAAATACAGAAAGGTGGCTTACAAACTCTTATTAACAAAACAAACAAATCCTGCATGTCCCAGAGAATGTGCTCAGTTAGGAAACAAGACACCATGTGGAAGCAAACAAGGAAGTAGCATCACTAACCACCCAGCTGCCAGTTTGCAGGGGACATATGCCCCATGCCCTCTGGAAAGGGCCCCAGCTCACCTCCTGCTTTACTTCAGGGGAGGAGCTACAGCTCAAGGAGCACTGCTCCTGCTTTGATTGCAAAAGGTCCCAGGGTCAATCGCTAGTACAGTGGTACCTCAGGTTACAGACGCTTCAGGTTACAGACGCTTCTGGTTGAAGACTCCGCTAACGCAGAAATAGTACCTCAGGCTAAGAACTTTACTTCAGGATGAGAACAGAAATCACGCGGCGGCGGCGCGGCGGCAGTGGGAGGCCCCATTAGCTAAAGTGGTACCTCAGGTTAAGAACAGTTTCAGGTTAAGAACGGACCTGCAGAACGAATTAAGTTCTTAACCTGACATACCACTGTACAGTGGTACCTCTGGTTGGGGACACGATCCGTTCTGGGGTGCCGTTTGCACCCCAAAAAGTCTGTAACCAGAGCGGCGCTTCTGCACATGTGTGAAGCGCGATAGAGAGCTTCTGCACAGAACGCTTCTGCGCATGCAGAGAAACCCGGAAGTGAACACTTCTGGGTTTGCCGCATTCTTAACCCGAAAAAATGCAATATGAAGCGTTCGCAAGAAGAGGTATGACTGTATTTCCTGTTAAAAGGACCACATCAAATGATGGAGAAAGGACTCTGCCTGTGATCCTGGACAGCCACTGTCAATCAAAGCAACTAATAATGGGCTAGATGGGCAAATTATCTGCTCTAGTATAAGGCCATTTCCAGTGTTAGAAACTGAGATATGAAAGCTAGGAGCCAAATTAAGGTTACCAGATTTTTTTTCAATGAATCCAGGGACACTTTTCAACTTCTCACTAAATATATGGATTTTGTAGGGGGACTGATTTGTAAATCTGGGGACTGTCCCCAGGAAACCAGGACATCTGGTAACCTTAAGCTAAATGGCACCTTAAACCTAGGTTATGGGTGCAACAACAGAATGTCTAGTGTACTTGTTTATAACAAGAATACAAAGCTGAAAATGAATAAACTGCAGATAAAATATTATGTTCATTTTTTACATGATCTAGTCCTTCCCCTGCCCACCCCCTAATATTCTTAAGAGGGACTCTTCTCCAGTCTTCAGAGAGTAGCTGGAAGTGGGGAGGCAAAAAAAGTCCTCCTTTCCTTCCACTCTGCAGTTTAAAACTGAAATCTTAGGCACAGTACTGCGCCCAGAGCTCAGAAACTGCTTGCTCTAATGAAATTCCCTGTCGCAAAATGCGCCTAGAACAATGGGAGTTTCAAACACTGGCCGTTCCCCAATTTGCCCAACCTACACCCTCATCCTGGGAAAACCGTATGGCTCTATTCTTCTCACGCCCCTTGTTCTGCCCTCACCCAACATTTGACCCTACCTAACTTCCCATCTCCACCCCAAGACGGGACTAGATCCTTGCCATTTCCCTATCTTTAGTTGTTGGGGCAGGAGGAAGAGCTTTACAGTAGGCAGATGCCACACAAGGGGCTCCAACTACTTCTACACATTCCAAAGACTACTCACACTCACCTCTCTCTCTCCCTCTCTCCCTCTCTCTCTCTCTCTCTCACACACACACACCCCTTTGGGATGCACAGCAAATTTGGTTGACCAGGGACAACAAATTGTGGCTGACTAATAAACCTAGCCAAAATCTGAAAAGCCCCCAAAACTATAACTCTAAAAGTAATTCTCTGATGCAAAAGTGGAAGCTCAGGAGAAGAATGAATATGCCCATTTCACTGAAATGAAGTTTGTTTTCTATTTAGGTAATGCTTTATTACAGACAGGAAAAGTAGCACTCAAATGTGTTCATTCTTCTGTCACCCATGTACAACATTTATTAAAGCATCACAGGTGTTCGGTACCTCCATTCTTTCATGTGCAGATGAGATACAACTATCATACTTCACAGGGCTACCATTAAATTAACCTAGTAACTTCCAGTTTCATTTCTGTGGGCCATTTTCCATTCAAAGCCCTTTGTTTACACTAATAATTAACCTTTAGCAGCACCAGCCCTTTGTAATAGATTGGAAATGAATATTACTATTTTTGTTCAATACGAGCTAGCAGTAATTAGTGCTCACAAATGGATTTGAAACCTTCTAGAGAAAACAGGAGTCAAACTAGTGCTGTACTCATATATCAACAAGAGATGACACTTTCTTCAAATTTCTCAAAGATTTATTTTTCATGAGGCCTTTGACTTGGCTCCCTTGTTCCTATGTCCTATAGTGTTCTTCACCAACTGGGTGCCCTTCTGGTTGTTTTGGACTATAACAAAAAAGGGAGCTGTGGTACAAAACTTCTGGAAAACACCAGGTTGTCCGACTGCAATTAAACCTGCAACCAAGCTTAAGCCATTGCAACAATCGCTTATTCCTTCCCCGTTTATCTCACCTGCCCTTCCCCTGCTCTCAATGTATCAAATTTTAGATTGTAAGCTCCTCAGGGCATGTCTCCCTAAAGCGCCACAGGCACTGACAGTGTTATATAAATAGCAATAATAAGAAAGTGAATCCATAAACAAAGTTGGAGTTGTAAACTCCCGTATTAGAAACTCAGCACTTGGGAGTATTATTAGTTTAGAATTCGTCAGACACATTCAAGCACTGTGCTTTGATACTATTTCCACCACAAGCCATGGGCAGGTGAAGAACTGCTGATGCCAAACAGGTAACTACATTCATTCAGATTTAATTGCCCAAATATTGAGAGCAACAGGCAGCCTCAGTGCAGAGTTGTATACATTTGTTCAGCAACACAATGTTATAATTCCTACTATTTTGATGCAGCTGATGGATGAGTAAAACATACCACTTGACTCCCAGTCCCCATAAACCATATATTGTGGTACTGATTGCTGTGAATACTCTATCTCCGTAATAATAGCTTAGCTACTTGAGTTCAATAAAATATTGTCTCACTTTTCCTGTCAAAGGACCCCCAATTGCTTTATCCTTGGTATGCGTTTGGCAGACAAAGCCACATCCAAAGCATCACTGGCAGGTACTTGGTTGCCTGGGCACATTCTTCAGTGCCATTGTGAGCAGTCAAAATTTGTCCTACCCCAGCAAAGGTATGGCCCCTTAGCTTAGAACATGCCACAAGTCCCTAAGGATTTGAGCTTAATTCTATGGCCAAGACAATAACCTCTCCCCACAGTCTCAACAAATACATTAAAAAGGAACACTGGGTAGCCCCACATTGGACATTCCTAATAAACAATTATAGAGATGAAGGGCAACCACAGACCAGGAGTATAATACATGGCTTACAGGAGCTTTCCATGCCTGAATAAATTCCAAATGACTCACAAAAATGTTATGTCAGATTCTGAGTGGGGAGACCCAGGTTCAATTCCACCACTCAGTGAAGCTCCTTGGGTGACCTTGGGCCAGTTACCCTGTCTCAACTTAACCCTCCTCACAGGGCTGTTGAGAAGCTAAAATTATAAATGTTGCCTGGAGCTTTCTCTTTTTAAAAAGGAGCCAAAAATGCATATATTAAGATACCTTCCATATTAAGCAGCGGATCCACAATACACTCCTCAGCATGACAGGTCCCACACCTGGTTGCATATCAAGTAATTAGGCACAGAGCATTGGAAGCTGTTTGATACAAAGTCATACCACTGGACCACCTGCCCACACAGACAGGGAGCAGTGACTCTCCAGGGTGGTATGCAAGAGACCATCCCAATCCCACTTGAGATGTGACTGGGAACTGAACCTGGGACGTTTTGCATGACAAGCAGGCTTCGCAGGTGTGTTCAATGGCTAATCCCCAGCCACAAATCCCAGGCAAGAAGGCCAGTGTTACCATCTGGGGTGGGGTGTGCCTGCGGCATCTTGCCCCAGGGCCTTCCAATCTTCATCCAACACAAGAGTCAAACCTAAGGATCCATTCTGCTTGCCTGCCTGCTCTCGTTGAGGCTTTGCACATGCTCTGGGGCAATCTCTCTCTCTCCCCCGCCCCACTCCAACACACTCGTCTAGGGCCTGAGCACAAGCAGGAGGCGTGCGCGAGTGGAGCTCTCAGCGCCAGCCCCACTCGCAAGCATGCATGCAGGCAGGCAGGCAGAGAGAGGACGCAAGCACCTCGTTCGGGTGCTGCTGCTCCTCCTTCTGCGGCGCCCCCAAAACAAATCCAACTCGCGAGTAGATACAGAGAGAGAGAGAGAGAGAGAGAGAGAGAGAGAGAGAGAGAGAGAGAGCCCACCCCGGAGGAGGAGCAGCGCGGGCGGGAAGGCGAGCGCGGAGAGGGAGAGAGAAGCTCCCGCTCGCTCGTTTACTCACTCGCCCGCCCCCCTCCCGCGCTCGCCTCGTGAGTCACTCGGGCGCGAAGGACCCCCCTCGCCCCTCCCCTCCGGCCTAGGCCCGACCAGGGAGGGGGGCGAGCCCGGAGACCCCTCCTTCCTCTCTCCCTTCCCCCGCGGCGGCAGCTGAGGGGCCCGCTGCGCTCCCCGCCTCCTCCCGCTGCCTTCCCTGTCCCCCTCAGAAGTCACCCAGGGCGGTGTCGCGGCGGCGGTTACCTGTGAGGCGCTGAGAGAGATGAGGGGGTGAGGAGGCGGCGGCTGTGGCGAAGGGGGACGTCCCTCACTTCTCCCGCCGCCTTCGTCGTCGCCTTGGTCGTCTCTGCTGTCCGTCAGGTGTCCGGCTACCCCGGCGGCAGGGCCGGGCCCCCCGCCACCTTGGTCGCACGAAGCAGCACCGCCGCCGCCGGGGGCTCCGTAGCCGCTCAGCAGCCCCGGCAGCGGCCAGTCGCCATTTCCCGCCTACCGACCTGCTGCACCGCACGGAAGGACCCGGATGATGACGGGAGGAGGAGGAGGAAGGAGGGGGCAGCGAGAGAGCGACGGAGAGAGGGAGGGAGGCGCCTTGCTTGCCTGCCTGGGCCGACGCAGTTACTGCGCAGGCGCACTCCGCACTCGCACGCCAGGCTAGTCCCGCGGGCGGGAGGAGCGGTTCCTGAGGGGAATCGGTTCTCCGGCTGTGAGAGGAAGAGGGAAAAGGGAGGAGAGCAGCCGGCTGAGGAGAAGGGGAAGAAAGCGCCCTCAGGCAGCTCGCGCTGGTGGGGTCCTGCGTCTCCTAGAGAATGCATTTTGGTCGACGCCGCCGCCACGGCACTCTGCACATGCTCGGGCGAACTTCCTCCACTCGCACAAGCCTCGCCTCAAGGGAGGAAACGGCTGCTTTTGCTGTCTGTGGGAGGCCGCCCAGCGCCGATGGACTGGCGAGCGAGAGGCAGCAGGACCCCGCCGGCCGGGGAAGGCAGCCGGCGCCAGGATAGGGACCGCAAAGGCACGCCCGGACCCTGAACACACTCTGGACCCGCGGGCCACAGCTACCGTAGGGGCTGGTCGCCCCTTCGGAGGCGCTCCGAAATGACTGAAGGGGGCGGCGGGGAGGATTTTCCTTTTTTCCCCCGGACTTGCTGAAGCAGTTTCTTCGTGTGTGCGTGTTTAAATTTTCCCGCCCGTCGGAGAACGAGGAATGATTGCGTTGATTTCGAAGACGAGCAGCCACAGAAAAGATCAGCAGGAAACAGGTCCCTCGGCAGCAAGATCCTGTTCGCTGCCTAGGGCGTTTGGACAAGGCGGCATAGAGCAAATCCAACAGGTGCAGTTGGCAGGTAAGGCTGTTGTTTTTCCAGCAGCACAACTTCATTGGTACTGCAGCTCCAAGGCAAGGAAATGTTTAAAAGAGAGAAGGGTCCACAAAAATATTTGATGGAATTTTGCATAACGGTTGCAGAAGTCACAATCCTTGCAACTAATTAATTTTATGTCACTTTTAAAATGTATAATCTGCCTTTGAGGCTACATATCTAGTTATATTTACGTGACTGCTAATCCTGTTACATTTGGTAGTACTTAACGCCTTGAGTATTTTCCCCCATGCATGGAAAGGTAACTAAGTGATATCCATAAACAAGATGGTTAAGTGGACTTTCCTGTGTTTCACCTTCCCAAAGGATGCTGCTTCTGGCTCTGCCACCTAGCGGATTGAGATGGACTTGTATACCACTGAATCAAAGCGCTGACCTCACAGTGGCCTTCCTGAAACCGTTGAAGGGGTTTCTTCAGTTAGAACTGCCTAAAACAATGCATTTCTGTGGAAACAGGCCTTTTTGTTTTTCCCTGGCACATATTTTATTTGTTCTCCTTATGAAGTGCAAAGGTATCCTGCATTGTGATTTCATCTTGAGGTGAGTCCTTTGTTACATCCCTAGCTGTATGTGTCTGCTCAGCAAGGTGCTATCTGTTTTCAAGGTGGCAGAGTTGCAAGGTCTCCAAGCTAACAGTGTCGAAATACATCTTGTGAAAGTCCATCCATTTTACTTTTCAGTCTAGTCCACAGGAAATCACCATCATGGCCAAAAACATGTGTATCAAGATTTTGACTGATTTTATCCCCAAAGCATAGTGTCAATTGCTCACTTTGTAATGAGCAGCCACCCATCCAACAAAATATCTGTTAGTTAAAACATCACAACAATATAATCAGTTGAAGAACTCTCTGGCTGATCTTTTATAGGTTTACCAGTCACATAATGACAGAAAGCATTCAGTTTACTGAATCCCTGCCTGCATTCCCTTACTCCAGTATCAGAATAGTTGACATTTTTAATTATAATTCAATATCTGTATGGTGCATAAGTTGGTTACTAGTTACCAATTCCTTACTTGCATGAAAATTCCAAAACACACTTCAAGCAGAAAACTTTTTTTTAAAAAGAGAACTAAAGTTTATCTGGCCCTGAACCTCAGAATAAGCTTTTGTCTATCATGTATTGTATATCTCCATGATTGACAGGCTATCGCCTCCGAGAGTCACAATAGTTTTCTCCATCAAAATTGCTGTTTGCTGAATACTACCAAGTGGGTGAAGACCTCCAATGGCAATAACAAAAAAATAATTTGGGCAGTGCACACCCCAAATCTTAAATTCCACACCTCCAGGTATGTGGAAAGGCATTTAACTATGCCAGGAGTCTGCAACCTTTAAGACAAAAAGAGCCACTTGGACCAAAGAAAAAAAAACTGGGAGCCGCAAAACCATTGCGACATTTAAAACAGTGGGAGTGTTGGGGCACACAATGCGTCTCCTCCCCTTGCTAGTATCCGCCCCGGAGCCGCGGCAAAGGTGTAAAAGAGCCACATGCGGCTCCGGAGCCGCGGGTTGCTGACCCCTGAACTATGCCCTGCCCAGTACAGCATTTGGGTGCAGCAAACTGTCAGAAGTGGCAGCTTGATGCTTATAAAAGCTCAATGTGCTGGGCACCATCAATAGCAGAAAAAAGGAACTGGAGTGAGGAGGGTACTAGCACTTGAAAATGTCTGTGCCTAAGAAATGCATTGGGCTGAATGTGATTCAATGCTATCCAAATGCTGGATGCATGGGTGTATGATTGGTGGTAGACCAAAGGTTATTTTAGAGTGTGCACTCTTAGCTCCTTTTTTTTTTGGAGTGGGGGACATATTTTGGCTCCCTAATCCAATTCAGTACCATTGCATAGAGGACACTATCCTGATGCTGTGGATGTGGTGGGCCAAAGTACATATTGTGGCTATTATTGGCATAGGGTTGCTGTATTCAGCACTGCACAATGCTGAATAAGCATTGAATTAGGCATAATTAAATGCCTTTTATAAATACTTTACTGGAGGTGTGGCCTAAATCTTGTTTTTAGGGTGTACATGCCCAGTTCCTTATTCTTTTCTATATACATTGGTGGTGGGTCACATTTGACCTTGCACTATGCTGAAGAGACATTGAGCTAGACATACTTTTTATAGACAACACTCCTCTTGAGATTTGGATGTACAATTTGGCATAGGTCAAAGCTTATTATGGTGTATTTCCTTATTATTTATTGTCATTTGGGGTCACTGTGCATCTATACAAGGGTTGCACCAAGACAACAGTTTGAATTGGAGAACAATGATGTTATCAAAAGAGAGTCTATCAGTCATGATAAGGATAGACCAAAGCTTTTAAGTTTTCTGCTTGAGCTGTTTCAGACTTCTGTGCAAATAAGGAACTGTGAACTATTAATCAACTTCTACATCATAATTCTTGTACTGTTGGCAGAGAGAGGGAGACCGCACCTTTGAAGATAAGACCATCAAATTGAGCTTAAAGGCCTGGCAGATATGAGAAGATTTGATGGGGGTGAGGGTGGCATTGCTGATTGCTGTGCCTGGAGGCTACTCTTTGGCACGCTTCTCTGGGTTTGGATTGTTCAGAAAAGCTGTTTGTGAGAGAAAACTGGTTATGTTTATAAACCGGGATGTAGGGAAGCTGTCATGTTGGGATCTGCTTTGTGGTTTTTGGAAGAATGAGATTGAAGAAACCACCCAAGAAGCTGCTGCCCAGACTTTCCACAAGCCTTATCATGCCTTGCTTCAACCGTAAAAGTGTAGAAGAGGGTGCTTATTAGAGCATCAATAGGCCTGGTCCATGGAGTTCATAACATGCATTCTGCTGTTCAATAAATTATATGTTTATGGGCCATTTGAAACAATATTTATTTATACAACAAACAGCTTATAAAATGCCCTTCAGCATAAAACTCCCATGGTATCCTCTACTTCAAACTTAAAATAAGTAAAATGATAAAAGCAGTAGGCCATAACCAGATGATAAAATCCAAATTTATAGTGGATTATGGGGCACAACTTCTGAATTGCCTAGAGCAACAATGTGTCCTGGCTTAGCACTCAAAACATTTCCACTGTGCATAAAAGAACCTAATCCAAAATTATGCAAAGCTTTCAAGTTGGCTGGGTGAGTTGCTTTCGGAGATTACCCTGTTTAAAACATATCATTGCATAGGGCAATGCCATTGCTATTTATAAAGCAGACATTAAGAATTTGATTTGGTATGCTTATTACCAGATACTTTAACGACAAAGCTTTTTGCTCGCTGCAGAAAGCAAAATGCTTTTTTAATTTTTTATTCTAGCATATTAGGGCTGCAGGGTTTCAAATCAAGATGTGGCTCTTAAGGCAAGCCACAGTTGGATTGGAAGCACCTCAAATGGTGCAGCATTATTTGTGTCAAGCTGGTACCTGTTTCCATGGTAATGGCATCACACATAAGTTGGTAGATGTGTAAACCACTCATTTTGGAAAACAACCCCAACACAAGCTTGCAGCTTTTAGATTGCTTGTTTGGAAGGAAATACAAGTGGATGCTTTCTAATATTTATTTTTCCACAAACCCTTCCCTCTTCAATCTCGCATGCATGGAATTGTGTACAGCAAGCATGTGCTGTTTAGATACTCAAATTGCACCACAGGCAGCAAACATGTTGCTTTAAGAAAAGGATGCCTACAGGACAGAGGCATTTATGACAATTTAACACATCACCTTTTATGTACGTCCAGTGCAGATTCAAATTAGCAGTGTGAGGGTGGCTGTGTTCCTGCCCATTAATTTACAGGCCAAGAAGCATGTATAGGAGAAGAGTTAGGTTTGTGCTTACCTTGTACAAGTTCAGTTGCATTGCTGTAGCAAGACTGTCAGTTTGGTCCATGTCTGCTTTATATGATCTCCCTCCCCCCGTCCCAATAGTTAGCAATTGCTGAAGAAAGCTCAGTTTCCTGGAACAACATGCAGTTTCTCTACTTCTTCCCTGACAGGCTGCTTTACACAATTGTTGCCTGGCAACTGCCAGCAAGGGAAGACTACTTTTGTCAGAGCCTGAGCAACATATAGCTGTATAGCCCCCTTGCCTTGCCTCAAAAGGAGCTGTTTCCTGGCAACTGCCACCTGCTAGCAAGGGAAGACTGCTTCCAACATGGGCTGAGTAAGACCTAGCTGTTCAGCCCCACCTTTGCCTAAAAATACTTTGGAAGGAACTGCTGCTTGCTCAGACACCAGAGAAGGACAAGGGCTGAATAATCTGTTTCACACAAGTACCGTGCCATCCTGTCTAGATTACAGTGTGACTTTAATTTTGAGAATTTTTTAATAAATTGCTTTAAGAGGTGCTCAGGACTGCAAACTGGAAAGCAAGTACTCTAAATAAATGTTAAGACTGCATGTCTACAAGCTGAAGCACAGTTTAGCAAGAAGAGTAGATTTTTGGAGCAAATATTGCTGTTGTGCTACCCAGGACTGAATCATGGGTTTGACATAGAATGATGTTCAAACCTGGGCTTGGGGTTTCTCTTACTCCAGAAAAACCAATAGCCCAGGTTCAGAGATAATGCTAAACCAAACAATGGCTTAGCCCCAGATAGCATGCCAATGGTAGCAGCAGATGGACCACAGGAGGACCACAGTGCCTTTAGTCTCAATGCACTTGCACAAGTGTGCATTTTGCTGTATGATAATTTTCCTACACCTAAGCACTTTGCATAGTGAAATTCTTTGTGTGAAGCAGCATTACTTGGGATTCATTGCAATCAAACCAAACCGCAGAACTGATGTTCTTTAAACATGAGACTACCAAATAATGTGTTAATTGCTATGGGTCTTAAAGCTGAAATCAATCTCTGTTCAGATACAGATTTTTGTCTGTCTGCCAGCCTCAATTCCCCCTTTTCAGGAACCAGCACACATACCAACCTTCCCAAACCTGGTGCTCTCCAGCTGTTCTGGACTACAGCTTTCAGCCTCTGGCTGACTAGAGCTGATAGAAATTGAAATCCAAACCTTCTAGAGGTACCATGTTCGGGAAGGCAGTCTGTTATGCCAAAAGGTCAGAAGAAGAGTTTGGATTTGATATCCCGCCTTTCACTCCCTTTAAGGAGTCTCAAAGCGGCTAACATTCTCCTTTTCCCTTCCTTCCCCACAACAAACACTCTGTGAGGTGAGTGGGGCTGAGAGACTTCAAAGAAGTGTGACTGGCCCAAGGTCACCCAGCAGCTGCATGTGGAGGAGCGGAGACGCGAACCCGGTTCCCCAGATTACGAGCTCTTAACTACTACACCACACTGGCTCTCACTACACCACAAAAGCATGACTTATGCCTTGAGTGCATCATAAAAATTGACCCATGGACAGCTTGTGAGGCTGACCAGGTTAATAGAATGGAGAGCAGCACATCCCTGGAACGCACTGCCCTCCTTCACTGGATGGTTGAAAGGACACAAAGACAAGCACTAAAACTGCATTAAGTTTTATTAGAACCTATTAAATTTTGGATTTCAACAGCAAAATCCTAATAAAATTACACCTAATTTAGGGCAGACACATTTTGGTCAATTCACAAAGTACAACACTGAAGACTTATGGAGAAAGAGGTGTTAGGAATGGTGGCAGGGAGAGGGAGAGAGAAACTACCTCTAAGGCAGGTTCAGCCTTGTAAGTTTTAAAGCTTGAAAATAAAACTAAGACGAACAGTCACCACTCACGTGTCCAGGTTTGTGTGCTTGAGAAGTGCCCAAGCACAAACTTCAATATTTGTTGTCAGAAATAAACACTGTTCTAACGGAAGTCTTAAACAGATCTCTCCTTTTTATTCAATACAAATTGTTAATTAAATTACTGCAAATTAACTTTAACTTACCAAAGAGACCAATAACCTGAGTACAGCAGAAATCATGAAGTACAATCAACCCTGTCATAGGACCTAAATTCTTTATTCACAGTAGCCCTTGTTGATAACTAGGGTTAATAACTTGTTGCTCAGGATATAGATGGGCATAACCATTTCTGTGAACTTCAGAAAGTGCTTAAACATCAAAACAAACAAAAAAACAAAAACAAAAGACCTCTTACACAAAAACACAGTACAAAACTGCAAGAACATAGAACATGCCCAGCGTTTTGAGTAATCCATACTACAGCACTGAAGTTGAAACAAACTGAGCATGACTCCAATTCTGAAACACATCAGAGGTTCAGACAGGAATGAATGAAGAAACTGATGAGATTGCACTTTTAGCCACTCTCCATTACATTCGGCTATTATTGCATAAGATTGAAATCACTGCTGTAAAAACAAAGGCAAATAAAATATTTATAGCTTTTATGTGTTGGAAATACTGGTTGTAGGTTTTGCAGATTTAAACTCTGGTAATTATCCTATAAAATTACTACACTGTTGCTGCATTTTTACTATGGATAACTTTAGTCACTCTCCTAGAGTTAACAATATTGTCTTGTATAGAATTAATGTAGTATGTATCACATAGACCTTCCTTAGTTATAGTAAGGAAAGTTCTTTCATAAAACACAAACACATTTTCAGTCAACTTTCTCAAAATGAAATGTAGTCTCTAAAATGCAAGTCACAACAGTAAGAGAAATGAATAATTTGCTTGCATGGGTTAAATACATTGTGGTATCAAAGAGTGTCCCATCTGTACAGTTATTCCTGCAATGAAGTAATTCATATATAAGATACAAACTGTACAAAGTTCTCCAGTTTACAAAGTGGCTTAGTTTCAGAAACATGTTGACCTAAGTTATTTTGCAATGTTAGCTATTATTTCAAAGGTTACAGGTAAGGAACAGTCTTACTGCCCAGTCCAATAAAGAGCCAGGTGCACCCAACTTTGCGTAGTTTCAGGTTATTAAGCATCTCCTAAAAGAACAAACCATCTCTGGTTCTGTTCATTTGCGAAATAAGTACAACTATATACATATACACAGCATTTTACCTTTTCCTTCCACTGTTAACTCTTTGCTGTCATTATTTTCAGTGTCTCTTACAGTAAATACTGAAAAATCAGTTGCGATTTTTTCCCTCTTGCAGAATCCCTCAGATAAAGGTAATTTGGAATTTAAAGTACATCGTTGAAGTGTGGTTTTCCGTAGTCTGCAAGCTCCATTTGAAGCTCTCTCTCCTCATCATCTGGAATCAAAGGAGGCAAACCAACATTAAGTTTTTAAAGTAAGTTCTCTGAAACCCACAGGACCATGTGTTGAGAAACGATTCACTGCCTTTCCATATAAATTATGGGTGTGTGAAGTGTGCATATCCAGAATTTTTGTATGCAAGATGCTTTACTAAGAGAAACAATTACTTAGCATCCTTTGTTCTAGAGGTCTGCATTTCTGTAAACTTTCTGCTTCGAACCACTGTTTTCCTTCCTATTTGCTCTTTCCCATCCCATCTGTATCATTTTATACATAACACAATCCCAAGGAGGATTCACCAACCTGCAGGTTACCCACCCCTTTGGCTTAGTAGGATGAGTAAGTTATTTAGCTGTACTGATTCTGAACTGGTGTTCTCCATACCCCTCTAGACTTTTACAGCATACTAGAATTAATTGAACAGTAGCTTTACCTTAAGACATTTTACACATGCACACCCAGTCTGAAACCCTGCTGCTAGGCACACAAAAGCAGAGTCCATCCAACCAGAAGTAACCCTCCCACAATCAACTGCTGTGGACAAATGCTGTTCATAGGTACAAGAGGCATAAAAAGAGCTGCAATATAATCTGCACACAAATATAGTGTTTTGAAGGATAGCACCTAGTTTGATTTAAACTTCATTATCACCCAATACTTACATGAGGGGATTCAGACGGGAATGTATTTAGAGACTACTAATAGCATTTTCTCTTATGGTCTCCCAACAGATTAATCTCACATACAATTATGCTTACAATGTGACTGTAAGTTAATAGAAGTTGTTCTGTCAATTAATGTGTGCTGGACCTACCAACTTCCCTGATAGGAAAAAAGCATATTTTTAAAGAAATGCCAGCAGCACTTCATTCCAAACTAAACAAAAACACTCTCTTAAAATTCTATGGTACTTGCAGGCAGGCCAATTTAAAAGAATTTCAACTGACCTAGAAGATTAGAACACCAGTGTCAAGAATGAAGCTTTGGAAAATGATAACATCTTATCCTGGGAAGATGCAAAATAAATTTGTATTTCACATTTCATAATTTAATGAGAGGATGTCTCCACAAGAGCCCTTGAAATGAATGGGAAAACTGCTGTATTCCGGGGAGGGCAGGGTAAAGAGAGAAAAGGGGTTTAGTTAACATGAATACCAGTTTGGGCCCTAATGTGATTTGGAAAACTGAACTGTGGAAGCTATTTCTTACTGATTTCTAGAGTCTTCTGCAGTACAAAAAAAAATTACTATGTGCTACTTTGTTCTTCAAGTTGGTAGAGGCAGTTTAGGGTTTGGAAGCGATACCACACCACACACACAAGCAATGGAAGCAAACAGGTAAAAGAGGGTGATAGACCAAGGCATATGCCAAGTGCAAGATGAGAGCATGCATGAGAACACCTTAGGTATTGGAAGCAACAGAAATGCGCCATGGAGGTCCACCGATTATGTATATTAGTAAGGCATAAGAACATTCCAGATAGCTATAGTTAATCACAACAGTGATGGCTACAGATTCAGCTTTGGGCCTATGCCAGATCCGCATGCTTTCCTAATAGCTAGATGCACAAATTAATTCCAGGACAGCCACCGTGTTAGTCCTTGGCAATGAGGAGGAAAACGCAGCAGCACCTTCAAGAATGGTTTTATCATGCCCTGCATAGGCAAGAACCAGCTTCACCACAGTACCCTTGACTCCCTCTGGTACAAATTCAAGACTACTGGAAAAAACCATATTTACTACCAATTAGAAATTGCTTCAAGTTCTAGAGTTCTTTCACAAGCTGAAATGCTAGAAGATGACACAGTCAAAATTCAGCTGTCTGTTCACAGCGGGACCTTTCTAAGCAGCTAAATAGTGGAACTCTACACCACTGCAGCATGGTTCTCAAGTGAGGGAATCACATGAATGGGATGGAGACAAGGCCCAAGCTCACCTTGGACGTCTTCTTCACCACCATCACCATCCTCTTCCTCATTGTAGGCCAGCTCAGCCTGCTTGTCTGCCTCATACTCACCCACGTTCCCATCATCCCCATTATAATCCGCCAGTTTAGAGCCATGTTGCGGATCAACAGGGGACTCATTCTCATCAAAGAACCGGCCTGTGAAGTAGGCAAAGGATTTATAGTCAGAGGCCAGGATGAAGGGGAGGGGGAGAGAAGGGGAGAGAAAAAAGCGGAATAAAGAGAAGCAGGAAGGAATCTGAACTCAGAAAAGTGTTTAAAAGTGTTTGGTTGCAAATAATCCTTGCAGCACTATAAATTGAGAAAAATATTCAGCAGTTCAAGGCCTTGCTTGTTTGTTTTTAAAAAACAAATCCTTCTGCCTGGAACTTCAGAGCACCAAATTTTATGACCTTTCATTATAATCTCTAGCCCCTTAAAATCTCCAGTGTTTTATATCTAAGACACAAAACACTTGCCTCAAAAGAAGGCAACTGCCTTTTTGGAATAAGTGAGCATCTTGTATTAATGAAACTTTACCAAAAGATTTTGGTTGCTTTGACAAGATCTGAACTTTATAATTGTTGGTATACAATAGCCTTTAATGTAACTATTTTCTAATCTGAATTTTTCAAAGCTTTAGAAACTTTTTGAAAAATGGAAAAGTAGTTCTACACAGTGAAATATAGATTAAACCAAAGAAAAGAATACATCTCACACTATACGCATGAGCAAAAAGTAAGATTCAGCAGAGGAAGTGTCAGCTCTGGGCAAAGGTCTGAGCACAACACAAAAGTTTATCTTTCAGCAATGTAGGATTCTGCAAAAGAAGGCTACTGACATTTCCAGAAGATGAAAACTTGCATAGGCCTTTGGTGTTTTCCAATAACAATATTTACAAACTGAACACTTGAGCTAAACAGCTAAGATAAACACACACACACTTGAGTGTCGGAAATACGGACTACAGCAGAGAGTTGACAATAAGCTGCAAGCAAATAAAGTTCGCTTAAATCTTCCATATGAAATGAACAGTAAGTGGCAAGTAAAGACTTCAACGATTGAGAGTTCTCCAGTTACACTGTCACGCTTCATCTGTTTTCTATATCTTGAAAAATTACAGCTAAGCACGACTGAAGCAAACAATTAGAAGCTTCATAAAATGAAAATAATTTACAACTTATTTCCTAAATGCCTGTCCAACGTTGCAGATCTGAAAAAAATGAAGGCCCAAGAGTTCATTTCCACAGCCAGCTAAACTATGAAGCAATTTTAAAAGTATTTTGAGAAATTTTAAATGCTTCCTTGTCAGATAATCTGCTCAGAGCCAGATGTGCCAACAGGTGCACTGAGGAATTCATGCTCACATAAAACATGTTTGTACTTGGGGGTACAAAGTGGAGAATCTTTGGCCCGCCAGGCCTCTGAGTCTGGCCCAAGATTACAAAGTGCTATGTTTGGATTGGAGAGGAGTGATCTCTTATCTCTACTCATAGCATTAAGCATCACAATGCTAAGATCAGTGATAAGCACCTGCTTGCTCTTGGAAAGGCAGCAGGCAGAAGCTCATCTCTTATGTTAGAGTTGTGGGCCTATAAACACTAGAGTTGGAGATGACCCTGTGGCTTGAACTCTGAATCACTGGGTGTCATTTGACATGACCCACCTGCCAAAATGACCGGCAGATGGAGGGAACAGATCAGGATCTGGTCTTCAAAGTGGATCTGGTTCCTCAGCCCTGGCTTGGCCTATGGCAATATCCCTAGCATTTGTTGTGGTTATTTTTAAGTTCTCTCAAAAATTCTTCAATTACCATTCAGCCACACAGGAGAACTGAAGTTCCCATGTCTAAAAGTTAAAATCACTTTTTATTGTTAATTGTTTTTAATAGTTAAATTGCTTAAAAATATTTTATAGGAAGCATTTAATAAACTGAAATCAATACAGTGGAAAGTTCCTGGAATCGCATGAATTATTTGCATCTGTCTAAAGAGATTATAAGCCCAAGGATGTTTTCAAACACAACAATCTTGCTAAGTTGCATAGGCGGCCATTGAGACCCTTACATAGCAATACAGTTTCACATTCTATGTCCATACAGGGGTGTGGTTTGAGGGAGAATACCCATACCAAATATGGTGGGAGAAACCGGACAGCCGTAACTGTAATCTTCAACAAATAGAATCTGAGCAACGAAAACTATATATTGAAATATTATATATTCAACTGGCCCAGAATACAGCAGTCAGGTAAAAAACAAGAGCAACTTATCAGGAGCATGCTGAAACAGCTCCACTAGGTTTTAATTTATTTCTAAGATCATTTCAAAGAGCTGGTGATGATACTCTTGTGTGTCCCATTAACTCTAACCGTACATTTGACTCTTAGCCATACAGGACCTTCTTCATTAGTTGCCCCATTGGTTCATGAGGGAGCCTACCTTGCACTATCTTCAATGGCGTTCTGCAGCATGGCAAGATGAGTCATCAGTTTGTCATTTCAACTATGCTGTGGGAGTTTGGGGCACCATCCCCCCTATTCTTGAAGTTTTATGGAACATTCTGGATCCTTATGTAAGCAAAATGGCACCATCCACATATAAGAGTGAGGGGGAACCCAAAGGCTTGTAGAAGGACAAAAAACATCACTGAAAAACCCTCAGGAATGGAGGGAAAAATAGAAAGCCCTGGAGGCAGACATGATGCATGCCATGCGACAACATTTTTGTTGCAGATCTCACTTGTAACAGTAATTTTAAGACTGGCTAGTCTACTTGGTAATCTTTGTAATCTTTCACTCTGTTACAGAAGTGGCTCTGTAATATTGGCTATCGTTTTCCAACTTGGGCTTTAAGGCAGGATACAGAAGTTTTAAAATAAACATGTCAAGGCAAACGGACCATGCTTCACTTAAAGCTACAGAAGATACTCATGAAAAGTTCCACTTTTCTGCATCACAAGACCAGAGCTCAGCTATTTTTAATTTCCAGGAGGTACCGTATTTTTTGCCCTATAGGACGCACTTTCCCCCCTCCAAAAATGAAGGGGAAAATGTGTGTGTGTCCTATGGGGCGAATGCAGGCTTTCGCTGAAGCCTGGAGAGCAAGAGGGGTCGGTGCACACCGACCCCTCACGCTCTCCAGGCTTCGCACACCTCTCCCCAAGCAGCGGGAGCCCAGCGCTGGGCTCCCGCTGCTTGCGGAGAGTTGCCTGCATGCTGAAGCCTGCGCACGCTCAGCTCAGCGCGTCCAGGCTTCGCGCACCCCTCCGCAAGCAGCGGGAGCGCTCCCACTGCTTGCGGAGACTTGCCTACATGCTGAAGCCTGCGCGTGTTCAGGCTTCACGCACCTCTCAGCAAGCAGCGGGAGCGCTCCCACTGCTTGCAGAGAGCTGCCTGTTTGGGGGCTGGGGTCGAGGGAAGCTTGAGCTTCCCCCACCCCATCCCCGCGCCTGGGGAAAAATAATTCCCCCCCTTTATTTCCCCCCAAAAAACTAGGCGCGCCTTATGGGACGGTGCGTCCTATAGGGCGAAAAAGACGGTATATTAAAGCAAACCCTCAATGATGCAGGCAATTCCTAACTTGAGAAAAAGAGTTAGAATATAGCTTGCATTGCATGGATTTATCAGTTTCTGGGCCATTCAAAATTGTTAAGCACTATGAAAAGAAAGGGATCCATGAGTTTATTAAACTGTTTAACAGTGCAGTCTTATACCCGCCCAAAGAGAAGTATATGCTTCACTACCTGTAACAGGATTTGCAGCCTAAGAAAGTCTATTTCTAGGTTTAACACAATGAAATAATTGAAGTTAGATGTTGTCATAATATGGTGAAAATGAACCTTAAACCCTCAAGAAAAATTGCAAAAAAAGAGTAGCCAACACTTTTGGAACTAAACAATACTTTAAGCACACTAAGTTCCTATTTATAACAAGCCACAAGAATTCAAGGAAAGAAAGTTTGGAATCAAGCTTGATTCTGAAAGTTGTGCCTATCTAAAGCTGTTCATATTCACAGTGTCTCACAATGGAAATGTGACCTATTGTCTCTTTCTTTTCCATTGATCAAACACATCCTCAAAATTACCAGAGTGCTCAGACTGAGTGAAAGTGAGAATGGTAGTGAAGAGGGCACAGCTAAAGCTCCCCACCCCCACAAGATCTGGTGTTATTAACATTACCTGAATATTAACTCATCTAGAAAATCCACACTTTGGTTTTACTGTGTTGCTTCAATTATGAGTGAGGGTCTGAGTCAGAATTATGAGCAAGGGTCTGATTAACTTACTTTGCTTCATTCTTTGGAAGTCACTGATTCTGTCCTTTTTTAAATGTTCTTTTTCAGCTTTCTGATTATCTAGGACGTGATCAGGAATCAAATGCTGAAGAGGATTTGGTGGGATCTGCTTTATGATGTCAGCATTTCCATCCTGGTTACTGTTTACACCTGGAAGCACACAAAAACAATTAAAACACTTTGACTATTTGCACTGTTCAGGCACAAGGAAAAGCAGCTTATGAATTAAGTCCTTTTTGAAGGGCAAGGGATCCCCTGGCGTGTGTTTTTTGTGTGTGTGTGTTTTTTAACCCTCATGACGGATTTTTCTCCAAACATTGCTGACACCTGTGCTTTCATTTTCTCAGTAGTCAAGGCAGAGAATGGGGAAGAAGGAGTGTCATCCATTATCAGCTATTGATACTTCTGTCACACTTCTTTTAAAAGCTTAAGAGGAATGCTGCAAATACATCATTGGAAGCATCAGGCTTTCTCCATGCCTGGACGTTACTTTCTTACCAAGTCTAGTGACCACTTGCGTCACTCAAACCACTTTGTCCTTTCTTTAATTTAATGCATGGTGTGGGGACAGCAGTGGTTTCCAACCTTTTTTTGGCCATGCCCCACCTAAGTATCTCTAAACTCCTGACACACCCCACCCCCTGGGACATATAATTCTTATTATTCAAAAAGTGAACTCCTATTCAAGTGGAGGAAGCCTAAAAGGCTATTCACTGTTAATAACCCATTCTTGAATTGCCCTCCCCCTAAAAATCAAATTGCCCCCGCCCCACATTGGGAACAAACTGGATTAACTTCAGCCCTTTTACAAGTTAAATTAACCTTGTCAGTATTTGCTTCTCACTTCCACTCTCTGGTGATTATCGCCTCTGTTCCCTGGGATTGCTCACTTTACAAATAAAAGCTGCCCACATGTACACCTTCACGCCTCTAATTCCTAAATAATGTCTGCTTTGTAATGTCTTTGCTAAACCTGAGAAACAGAGAAGGTACATGGTGGTTTTAAACACTCCTAAAGAAGTTTTAGATCACATTCACCTTGGCTCTGCATAAAGACTAAAGGAGAGGCCAGACTGAGAACAACTTTTTTTCTCTTAAGACCATTTATTTCAACAAGTCTGCTGTACGTATAACTTAAAGGTAAAGGGACCCCTGACCATTAGGTCCAGTCGCAGACGACTCAGGTTGCGGCGCTCATCTCGCTTTATTGGCCGAGGGAGCCGGCGGTCCTCCCCGTTGACTCTTAGCAGGCTGGGGAAGAACTGGTGACCTCATTCCGCCATAAGAGAGTGAGGGATAACCTGCTTTAGAATGCCCTTCACTGAAGGAGAATATTTACTCCTGTTTTAAAGATGCACCAGGGACTTCTTACCTTGAGCCAGGTTTGGAGCATGGGGCTTTTCTGTTGGAAGATTTCCATTGGGTTGAGGTTCATTCTGAGAAGCTGAAACAAGTGGCTTCTTCAAAGCTAAACAAACAAAACCACACTGTGACTCACTGATCTACTAATACCAATGGCACATCCTAAGGCAACCACTGAGCGCACTGTTCAAAAAGAGAACTGATATGTTCTGTTGGAAGCCGCCCAGAGTGGCTGGGGAAACCCAGCCACATGGGCGGGGTATAAATAATAAAATTATTGTTATTGTTGTTGTTGTTTTGTTGTTGTTATGTTCTGCAAAGGGCTGATTTCTGACAAGTGAACCAAGATTGGTACAAATGCAGTTGTTGGCAGTAGCTCTTCTCTATTTTCAAGATAAGCCATACAGAAGCAGGGGCTTTCCTGCAAGGGCCAGAATCCAGTATACTATAACAAAAGTTTGCGTTCTCACCAGTTTGAAATGTTTTGTCAGGACAGCATTTGCTAGTGTTCACATGCTGAGAAGAGTTAAGTGCAATTTTGCGGGGTTGCAAAAAAAGAAGACGAAAGTTCCCCCTCCCCATTTATACTTCTTATTGATGAGAAAGAATCAGTGGCAACTAATTCTGCCAGTTTATACTAAGAATCAAGATTCTGGTGCAGCATCTGTCTTTTTATTTCACATCTGATAACTGCTTTAGCCAATAGCACTTCACCCCTCTTCAGGCAAGTCCTCTTGTAAACTACCTTGGTCATCTTTGGCAACAAACTGAAATCTGACACTAGCTAGCCCTTTCTCTGGAGTTGAAATCAGTAACCCATCTAAAAAAACCCACAAACTGCTGAGGGAGGAAATGGGTATTTCAGAATTATCAAAAATAATAGATTTTAGATTACTTAGAAATAGTAGTAGTAGTAAAATATATATAGCTTTGCTAACCAGTGAGTGTATCTTCAGCTTTAGCAGCATCGTTCTCTTCTATCCCAGGCATGCCTGCATCATCTCCTGGTTTTATTTTCTCTGTCAAGAGAAGAAGAAATTTCTCTCCTTACTGCTGCTTACTTTTAAGTTCTAAGTGGATTCACAATTGTTACAGGGACTGGACTAGAGGTAGTAGATCATAGTTGCTGAACAGAAAGCAATACATCTCCCTCAGTGAGCTAGCTGCAAAGGCAGGCAACTTTCTCCAAGACTTCATTGCTGGCCAATGTTAAAAATGGCACCAGATCTGTGCCTCAAGACTGAGGAGTTCCTAGCCAGCCAGGTACTCTGCATTCTCCCAAGACACCTAAGAGGTACATAGCGATGTGACCCACAATTGTACTAGACAGACCTTTGCCATCTGAGATATTGTTGATGGAAGGTGTTTCATTCCTAATTACATTCTTTTCATCCAATTGTTGCGTTGTCTTCAATATTGTTGGATTATTGCTCAGGTTGCTCTCAATATCTTTACTGGACTGGCTTCTGTGTGCAGCCTGTTAAAATGTAAAGAACCAACTATGAAACACAGTTGTTCACATTTGAATTAGACATCCTGTGTGCCTGTCACTCCATTAGGATGATTCAGTCTGTTGTCAATGGAAATTCACTTCTACTTCTATCTCAACCAAGTTTTGTTCTTTTCTCATAACAAAGTCTAACATCAAATTTATGGATAGAACTGATCTACGCCAGATGGGCAGCGTATAAATAATAAATTTTATTATCATGATTGTTATTATCATCATTATCATCATGGCAACAGGGGTGCTGGCAACCCATCCTAGAATCATGCAGCGAGCAGTGAAGGGTAGGATGCAAAGCAATCCTCTATCCATTCCCAAGTGGAGCGAAAGCTGGTTAGATCAGGCATAGGCAAACTCGGCCCTACAACTCCCATGATCCCTAGCTAACAGGTCAGGGATGATGGGAACTGTAGTACCAAAACATCTGGAGGGCTGAGGGCCTATGCCTGGGTTAGAACCTGACCCTTCTCTTAATGAGTAAGTAGAGAGGAAATTACCAAAGGAAAATGGTATTTCAAACCATTCTCAAGTGTCCATAAAAAATGATAGGAACATATGAAGATACCTTCTTGGACATTCCCAGCACTACCTGGAGATGCTGGGGATTAAACCTGGGACCTCCTGGATCCAAGGAAGATGCTCTTTCTACCCCTCAACTATGGCCCTTCACAGACTTAAGCAACTGAGCATTTAGATGATGTACCTTTTGGTCTTGTGTAACTTGGTCCTCTAACTTTCTCATATTTTCTTCATGCTGCATCCTCAGTTCTTTGATCTGATGTCCACACTGAAAACTGGCAGAACAGATAATGTACAACACAGGTAACAAATTTTATAACCTTTTCCCAAGATTGACACATGTTTTATATGCTCTCCGCCAAAGTACTATTTGTTTCTGGAACAAAACAGTATCTCTTTTCCTTGCAAGGCACTGAATGTATGAATCCATCTAGCATAGCAAAAGTCATCAACAGCAGCTGGTAGTGTTTCTCTAAAGTCTGAGGCAAGAGGGATATTTCCCAAGATCATAGAATCCTGGAGTTGATGACAGAAGTCCACAGATCCTTTTATGTGAAGATGCCAGGGACTGAAGCTCATATCTTCTACATACAAAGCAGATCCTCTACCACAATATTATGGATGCTCTTTGCAAAGGAAAGAGTTCCAGCTTCTACTAAGACTTAAGTTCTAAATGAAGGTGACTCTCCTTATGGACACATGAACGGCAATGAAATTGCTAGCACATTTGCAAAGTTAAGCAGGGACTGGTATGGTTTCAAGATTCCTGCATTGCAGGGGGTTGAACTAGATGACCCTTGGGGGGTCCTTTCCAACTATGATTCTATGAATAAGTGCCACAAGAATTGAAATCTCCTGTCTGACCTTTCCCTATAATTGTGTTTGCTTATTCCTTGCCTGAGTCAGGAGATGGAACATGGAATTGGCTCTCCCTCCATTCCACATAACATAGCAAACTGTGAAGCACCCTCCACTGTGTTGACTGGTGGTGCTGTAGGATAATCAATACATTTTTGGTGCAGAGATTGCCATCCCTTAGGAATTCTACCTTGGATACCTTGATTAACGGGTTCTGAGCACCATTTCTTTTGCTTCTTTTAGCAAGCAAGTCAAAATCATGAAGTTTCACTAGTCTCCTTTTCAGTGAGGGCAGAAAGGGCACTACCCTACCACAGCTGTCCTAAAGTATGCTTTTCTTCTAACTCCTTCTGCATATAGGACGCTGATGTCAAAAGCAGGACTCCACTTTGATCTGAAAGATCATGGCACAGCTAAGCTGGAAACACTCTGCAGAACTCTGTATTATTAGAGTACATTGGCATCAGTTCAGATTTACATAGTACTATGCTCACCTTTCATACTCCAACCTTTTCAGAAGTTGTGTATTGTTGTTCCTATATTCATGAAGCTGGTCCTCTTGACGAATAAATTCTTGACGCAACTCTGCAAGTTGTTCTAAGGCAAAGTGTAAAAGTCCAGATGGTTAGAAAAATAATGCCTTCATAACTTAAATGCAACTTTCCCCCACAAGTTGGGAAATTGTTATTTTTTCCACTGCTAAAATAGAATATTCTGTATACGCTAATGTCTTGGACAAGTGATACGAAACCTAAAATATAACTGTTTAGGAACCTCATTACAAAATAGAAGAAAGCTTGTGTGTGTGTGTGTGAAAGAGGTGTTACTTTTCTTTCTGGAGTCTCCGCGGCATAATACGGTCTCAGTGATGCCACATTCGATTTTTAGTATGTAATGCTTGTATTTTAGTAAAGCAGACTCTTACAGCTACTACATCTTGCAAACTATAATGTTAGAGCCCAAGGAGCCACAGCACTTATTTATTGACATCCTGCCCATCATTCAAACTTAGAGGAGTGTACATATTTCTTTCCCCTCCCCCTTTATCTTCACAACACTTTAATGTAGATTAGGGTCCAAGATCACCCAATCAACTTCATGGATGTATGGGGATTTAACTTGGGTCTGCATGTGCATCTATCTTTGTAAAGCATTGCCATTTACTCTCCAGCACCCTTTATATATGAACAAATATCAGTGTTGGAAAGGGTATGGCATAATGTTATTTATTTCACATGACTTCCATTCTGTGAGAACATGACTTTGTAACTTCACCTGACAAAGCCGTGTAAGAAGATTACCAGCGGTAATGAACCATATTAGAGACCATACTACAGTGGTGTGTTGTTGCATAAACAAAGCAATTCTTTGACTTATAGCAATGTAAGATCTCCACCAGAGGACTTTAAATTATTTTAATGTTATAGCACTTAGCTGTACAACAGATAGAAATCACTGCCTATGCTATAACTTCAACTTTCCCTTTAAAAACCAAAACACTGCTGCATATCGAAGGTCTATGAGACATTTGAGGGCACATTTGCAGAATTTGTAACAAAACAGAACTCATGCTCTCATCTTTGAGGCAGGAACAGAAAAGGGATAACGGCAAGCGAGGCAATGGCCCTTCTGTGCCAGATAAACAAACACAGCATGATATTTTTTAAAGAAAGGCTCTAGCTCATGTCAAGAGGAAGAGTATTAGGAAAACTTGACAGTTGCAAAGTTTTAAGCTTTGCTTACCAATACAAGTAAAATAAACCTGCTAAATTAGATCTCTAGGGCACCAGAAACTTTTCCAATTCACAATTCTCCAAATAATCCGCATCACCAGTTGCTACTTTGCTACCAGTATACTTTCTTTATACTGCTCTCAGAATTAGTAGGTTTAACTGCTGCATGCTTCTCCTTTCTTTTGACTCCTTACCCTTTAAGCGATGTATGTCTGCCATTTGGTATGATATGTTGTTCTGAAGCTTAATCTGAAAAGGAGGAAATATATATTGTGCAAATTAGTGGTCATATTATGACTATACAGTTAATATCAAAATGATCATGGTAAACAAGACTTTGATGAAACACTGAGCTTATTAAATAGCCTAAAGTTTCAACAAAGGCTTCCCAAAATCTATTTTCTTTTTCATTCAAGATATTGCACACAATCCATTTACACTTCAAGACAACAAGAAGCAACATTTTTTACTTTGACCCCAGTAGCCATTCAAATTCGGGGGGGGGGGGGAAATGATTGTTTTAAAAATACCACTTCAATGTTTCCTTAGAATGCAGATTAATCAATGAATTTTTTTATTCATTTATATTCTGCCCCACTTTCACAGATCTCTGGAAAGGTAACAATAATATTGCATAAAACCAAACATAAACAACAACAACAAACTGTAGAAACAGCAGTTGAAATATTTGCCAATGTGAGTGGCACTATTGCACTGAAGGCTGCATTTTCAACCAAGCATCTAAAAGGCAGCAGTGAAGGTAGCAACCAAATTCTGGGGCATCCCTTCCTACAAACAGATACCACAACAGAAAAGGACTACCCCACATCCCAGTGAAGTGCACAGAAGCTAGTGGTGGGATGCTAAGGAGCCCCCTGCCCCAGCCAATCTCCCACACAATGACAGAGACAGACTCCCTCAAGATTTTAAGTACCAAGGCATATCGGGGTTTTATACATCATCTGAAAAACCTTGGATTTGACTTGTAAATGTTCTGGCAGCCACTGCAGAAAGCGCCTTAAGAACCCGAGTAACAACCACTCTGGCTGGTGGACCCACTCAAACAATGGAAAACTATATTTTGCACAAGCTGCAGTTCCCAAGTACTATAGTATTCAAAGGTAGCTCCACATACTGTAATGACTACTGCATTACAGTAGTCCAGACGAAGTTATCAGAACACAGATCATTGTGGCTAAACTAACCCTGTCCAGGAACAGCCAAAGGTGAGCAAAGCCACTGCACAATACTGAGAATACTTTTGTCTCCAGTAAGAGATATGTATCCAGAGGTACCCCTTAAGAATCTGTACCTACTCCTTCAAGTGAATTGAACCCCACCAAGAATAGGTTGTTCTCCTAATTCAGAATGGTCCAATGTGTGGCACAAGAGCCACCCCTTAGCAATATTTTATGCCCCACAACTGTTTTCATGCTGCCTTCCCAAAGCCCATGCAGAGGCGCTAGGCTTTGGAAAGGAGGTGTGAAGGCTCTGGCAGGTTCCTAGAGTCCTCCCACCTTCTTCTCAAATCCTTGTGAGAACTTTCCCAGCTTTGGGAAGGCAATGTGAGGGGTGCAGGGGGCATCAGATTTTGGGCATGCACCCCACCCCACCCGCACAGTGTGCGGCCAGCAGGTTCCATGTTGAAGTACTCTTGCAGCCCACTTGGTATGAAAAGTTAGACTTCCCTGTGCTAATTCATGAACTCAGAAACCACCAAGCCACAGCATTGTCATCTTATCCGAAGTCACTTTTAATTTATTCTCCCTCATCCAGCCTATTACAGTGGCCAGACATTGGTTGAGAATCTGCATGGCTAGTAGCATTGTGGGCAGAATGGAACCCTGAGGGACTCCACAGATCAACTGCCATGGGGTCCAACAGAAGTCTCCCAAGGCTACCTTTCGCTCCTGAAGAGAGGAGAGGAACCACTGCACTCCCAACCCAAAGAGCCAGTCCTCTGTGCTCAACCGTTTCAAAAGGTGCTGCACATCCAAAAGGATCACAGAGACACACTTCTCCTGTCACTCTTGCAGGAAGTCACACATCATTCTGGACCCAAAAAGGTCATGATAATCAGCCTCCCCACCTAGAGTGCCTGCACATTAGTTGCTATGTCAATATGATTTAACAATTACATCAGGGATGTCCAACTACCAAGAGACTGAGATCTATTCACAGTATTAAAAAAAACACCTGGCAATGATCTACCCATTGTCATTGATGGATGGACCAGAGTTGTTGAGCTTTTTTTTGGGGGGGTGAGATCGACCTGGGGGGGTGGCGATCAACCTGAGACACCCTGTGCTCTACCAGTACGCCGTGATCTTCCTGTTTGACATGCCTGCCTTACATTAATTAGGCTGCAATGTTAATCCCAGGACTACTACTTCTGACTTTTGATACCATTTGTACCTGGAGGTCAGATATTAATGTACTACCCAGGCATTCACATTGGGAATATGGCCTTGATTGATAAAGCATTTTGCTGCCACATAATTATTCCTGTGTGATCACACAATGAAAGTGTTGGCAGCTGGAACAATGAAGTGCTCTGACACATCCTGGGAATAGGGAATAATCTATGAAAACCAAGGCTTTAGACAAATTGGCTCCTTACTCCCAGCCACGATTTACTCCTCCACAAAAAGAACATTTTTTTGCAGGACTGCCTGTACATCTCAGCCTTCAAAATTTTGTTACATGAAAAGTTATGGGTATCTGGGATGCCACATTTATCATAGCAAACTAATTCTGTAAATGTTAATGCATTTTGCAAACCTTCCTTTGAAAACCTAGAATCTGAGAATCTCTTAAAACATTAAAAGATTAATGTAAGCACCATCTTTTCTCTCCCTTGATGGGTGCCTTGTCCTCTCAAGAGTGTTTTCTTGTGTAAATACAGCTAATGGGACTCCAGTCTTAAGAGATTCAACACAACAAAACAACTAGCTGTCAGACTTCTGTGATATAAACAAGCATTTGTAGGCTAGTTTCCTTCATGAGATGCATTCAGCAGTCTGACCAAGTGGGCTTAAATGTGTTACGTCTTTAAAATGCCATAATATTCCTTCTGAATAATGGGGGATGGGTGAAGAGAGGAGGTCCCAAACTATTATGTAAAAAAGAAAGGAATGCCCACAAGCAGAAGGAAGTAAACTTGTCACAACAACAACAAAGCAACTTCCTTGATTTCATTCCCCCTCCCTCTCTCTCCCAAAACAAAGCTCAGTTTGCTTAAAAGCACACCCATACATACCCCTTCTCTTCTGAAATAAGATGAGGAGGGGAATCTATCTAGGAACAGAAAGCAAAGCTGAAAACTAAAAACATGCCTCATAAACAGTGGAGAAAAGGGAGCGGCAGAGGGAGAGATGGGGGTGGGTGGGCAGAAACCACATGAAAGCTTTTTATATAGGCAAAAGGTACCAGCATATCAAAAGGCTTCATGGGAGTAGCTCGGAAAGGGAAAGCTAGAAGCTCAATGGTTGATAACAGCTGCCCTTGCTCTCACAAAAGGCAGCTGGTGACCAGTTAGTTTCGGACATGCTGTTTGGAATATTCAGTACTAGACAGCATAAAATAGACACAAGCAACCATCATATGCAATGACACCTCACCCTGCTCTCTTCACACTTCCTTATCTGGCCTTCCCTGGCTTGCAGTTGGTTGCTCAGCTGACTGTGCTCAGCTTCCTTCTGCTCCAGCTGTTTCTTGTGCAGCTCCCCCTGGAGCAAGAGCTCAGAGTTCCTCTTCTCCAAGCGCCCCCTGGCAACATCACTGCGCTTGGCCTGGCCCTGCAACTCTGCCACCTCCTCCTGCAGGACCGTTTGGCGGGATGAGGTAGTCCAGTAATTGAAGGCAAGGACGGCAATGACTAGCAGCAAGGCAACAAAGAGGAACGAAGGGAGACGGCCCCCCCTCCGGTTGGCCCCAAACCCCACCATGGGGGAGGCTGGGGAGGGGGGCGCTTCAGCTTCTCACTGCACCTACCTGGAAAGAAAGTTCCCAAGTCAGCACAAGTAGAGAAAGACAACAAAAACCCCACTGACTTTTCAGAAACAAAATATAAGAAATAGGAATATACAGAATCATTGACTGGGATGTGTTCAGCTTCCATTGCATGTATATAAATAGAAACAAGTTTGTTTTTTCTTCTGTATGCCAGGGTTATGGGAGCAGGTTAAAATAAAGTTTAGACTGATGCAGGACTACAACTCCCATCCCTAGATAACAGATGGTCAGGGATGATGGGAACTGTAGTTCCAAAACATGTGGAGGGCCGAGTTTGGCAACCACTGGACTAGAGAAAGCCAAATCCAAGTCAATAAAGGCAACGTAGAAACCGTCACAGAAACCAAAAGTGGGGCCAGACGATGGACCCTCTCCCACTTTTCAGGGCAGGAGGGGAAGAGGGGGAAAGCCCGTACAGCACCCAGGTCCTAGCTCAGTCTAAATCATGCTCTGCATCTGCAAAGCCGAACCCTGCGCCCACCTTTGGTGCGGGAAGATAGGTAGGGGAGGGGATCGTAGAGGGGAGGGGGCTGGTTCAGCGCTGCGTGCAAGAGCTTCCCCCGAATTGTCTCCGTTGCTGTGTTGGCCGCATCTCTCCCCGCCTCCCCTCTACATTTTAACCCCTCCCCAGTTGAGTCCTCTTGGCCGCGGGTGGGGGAGGTGCTATTAGCCAACGTCGCCCACCCCCCACCGCACCCCGTTTCCCCAGCTCCCAGGCCCGCCGTGCAAAGAACAGCAGCTGCAGCTGCCCAGGCTTCTCTCGCTCGGGCCGCCTCTGCAGGAGCGCGAGAGAGGCCGAGCGAGGAGCCCCGCGAGGTCGCGTCCCCGCCGGGAGGGGAGAAGGAGGGGCTGATGCGGGAGGAAGAGGCCCATCCCACTACCCGGGGGGTGGGGGTGGCGGGAGGCGCCGCTCTACCTCCTCTGCTCCCCCGGCCACCGCGCCACGCGCGCCTCCGCCTCTCCTGGCCTTTCCCCCCTCGCCTTCCAACCGTCTTTGCCTTCCGATGCAGCGGCGCCGCCGCCGCCACTTCCGTATTCGCGTTCCTGTCGCCGTGGAGCCGCTTCTCGCGAGAACGGCGGAAGCAGCGCAGGTTTTTCCCCTCCCTCCCCGTTCCCGCTCCAGGTCTCGCGAGGCTTCCGTCTTGCCCGACGGAGAGAGCGAGAGCCGTCTCTGAGGAGATGAAGCGCCAGAGTGGCCGGGCGCGGATAGAAAAATGATCCGGCCTCGGCTTTGCCGGGTGGGATTCGGCTGCTGGCGGGAGGCCTCTCAGGCAAGGGGCGGCCGAGGAAGGGCGCCCCTCACACCAGACGCGCCGCCGCCTCAATGAGGTGCCCACACGGGTAGGGGAGGCCCCGATGGTTAAGCCCGGTCTGCATTGGTGCTGCCGCCTGTTCGTCCGGCGACCCAGAGTACCGCCGCGGCGGAGCCCCGAGGCCTGTCTGGAAGCTGCTTCCCACAGCGCCGCGAGGTGGGGGACGGGGAACTGCCAGCGGCGGCGGCGGGACTTGGGTTCCCCTCCCTTCCGCAAACCCATTTTGTTCCTGGGACGGTGTCCTTCTTGGTTGCTTTGAGTTTCTTAACTGAGCGGGGAAGAGTCAGTTGAGGGGTGCGGGGCGGGGGAATGAAGGACTGTGTGGAGGAGCCTGGGGCGGGCTTTGTCCGGCTACAGAGGAGCCTCGCTGCTGATAATGGGGCAAAGAGAGGTGGCGGGAGTCTGAGGCACTGCAGTCCCCGGTTCAGAAATGGAGCTGCCGTCCCTATCCAGATGCGCCAGGTGCCTGCCAGCCAGTTACTTAAAAAGGAGGAGAGATGTAAAACTAGGGCATGAAAAGACCAGAATTTCAAAAATAAAAATCCTCAGTCGCTTGCCTTTTCTCTTGCATTGCGCACTCATTGCTGGTGCTTTTTAAAAATAATAAAAAAAATATTAAAGATTTTCCTCGTTTACAAAAGCACATGCATTGTCTCTTTCTTCAGGTTGTGTTTTCTACAGATCAGATTTGCCCTGAAATATTGGTGTTTGTTATATGCAGCATAGGATTGGGAAGAAAAGAGGGGGCAAAAGAGAGGAAGGGGCGCTAAAGTTTATTTTCTTTTACTTAGTGTATGCATGGGGTTTTTGTGTCAACTCTCACTTGGGTAGGTTCTCTTTCTATACGTTTCCTTGGTGGTGAGACAGGTTGGGGTGGCCTTGGATGTGGTTGATTTTCTTTCTTTGGCTGCAGTTGGATTTGTTTGTGTGAATGTGAGGGGGTTGTTGGGTTAAGTTAACCATATTGAATTGTTCTAGTTACAAGTAGGTAGCCGTGTTGGTCTGCTGTAGTTGAAATAAAATAAAAAAATCCTTCCAGTAGCACCTTAGAGACCAACTAAGTTTGTTATTTGGTATGTGAAGAAGTGTGCATGCACACAAAAGCTCATACCAATAACAAACTTAGTTGGTCTCTAAGGTGCTACTGAAAGGAATTTTCATATTGAATTGTGTGATGTCGGTGGGTTCATGTTGTTTTTGCTGATATGGATTTAAAGGGAGTTACTGGTGCTTGTTTTTAAAACCTTTTCAGGCTTGCCTGAAAAGATGTATATAAATACCTTACATAAAAATCTAAAACCATTTTTGCCTAAAGATGTCAGTGTATAGCTGTGCATTCACAGTCATTTGTGCTGAAGCCAGTGGCACATAAAACATGGGATTTCTTTGGCTGTTGAAACCTGATTAATCATAGGTGGCATTGTGAATACATTTCCTCTTTCCCAGGAATGGCTATAGATCAGCAGTAGAACCTCTACTTTCCATGCAATGCTCCAGATTCAGTCTCTGGGTAGGACTGGAAATGTCTCCTGCCTGAAATCCTGGAGAGTTGCTGCCAGTCAGAGTAGATGAGGTAGATCAGGGGTAGGCAACCTAAGGCCCGGGGGCTGGATGCGGTCCAATCGCCTTCTCAATCCGGCTCGCGGATGGTCCGGAAATCGGTGTGTTTTTACATGAGTAGAATGTGTGCTTTTATTTAAAATACACCTCTGGGTTATTTGAGGGGCCTGCCTGGTGTTTTTACATAAGTAGAATGTGTGCTTTTATTTAGAATGCATCTCTGGGTTATTTGTGGAGCATAGAAATTCGTTCATTTTTTTTCTTCAAAATATAGTCTGGCCCACCACATAGTCTGAGGGACGGTGGACCGGTCCATGGCTGAAAAAGTTTGCTGAGCCCTGAGGCAGATGGACCATTGGTCTGACTTCGCAAAAGTCAGCTCCCTGGGTCCCTATCTTATTTCACATTTCGAAAACACCATTGTTGAAGGCTTGCTCTGTGTTTGTCTCCATGTGGCTTGGGCACCATCTGCTGGGCAAGGAAAGGGAGTGAGGAAGCTGGCCCCATGTGATGCCATCCTTGATGACAGCTTCAACCACTCTGAAGTGAATCTTTATATGGATCTAGGAATAACGGATTATGGGCAGGGACACTGTTAAACTAATGCCCAAATGACTTCAGTTTCCAGTTGGCAACACTTCCTGGACATGATAAACATAAAGGTCTGTACAGTGCTGTGGCATCTCCTTAACTTTGCCAGAAGTTCCTGGCTCTGCTTAAATACCTTCAGCAAAGGAGAGCCCACACTTCCTGAGGCAAACATTAGGGACTGTCTCCTCATGTTTTCCCAAAATCAGCTTCCCTGCAGTTTCCAACTTTTAGTTCTGCCTTCTGGACAAAAGGAAAAAAAATATGCATGACCGAGTCTCCACCCCAGTGTTGTTTAAAGCAATTAAAATGTATGTCCTAAAGTCTGCTAAGTCATTTCCATTTGACTTTTGTCAAAAATTGTGGCAGTGTGTGCTAAATTATGTAGAAGATGTTTGTGTGTAGCTTTGATTGGATGCCTTCTAATGCCGACAAGTACTAAACCAATGTACCCCATTTTCTTCTCAAAGCTATTCATCCTTCTTGATTTTGTGCCTCCCCCTCTTCTATCAGCAGTCTTATTACTATTAATTTATTTATATCCCACCTTTCACCCAAATCAGGACTCAAGAAGACTTACACAAATTAAAACAACATAGATAAAATACCGAAGGCTAAAACCGTATAAAAGGTAATAATTAAAAAATAATTAAACTGTTATAGAATTAAACAATATACAAACAGATCTATTAAAACACAAATAGTAAAAACAGCACAGTGCTATTTAAATGCCCATTTCTTTAAAAAAAACATTCAGGCTGCAAAAGCCTATTGCAATAAAAGAGTCTTGAACAGCTGGCGGAAGGGTCTATTCTACCACAAGTTATCACTGGCTAATCTCTATTTGTGGTTGCCACAAATTCCCTTTTCCCTATATCTTCTGGCAAGAACAGAGGGCTTTGGAGGAAGCGGTTCTGTTCTCTCCCCCCCCCCCCGCCGCCACCCCCACTATAGCCTGTACTAGGACTGGGCGGTATCTGGTTTTCAACATCACAATATATCGCCAGCTAAGTATAATATATCTGTGGTGGTAGAAGGTCTTGCTGGGCCTGCGGGGGGGGGGGGAGGAACCATACCTCCCTGCAGCGGCGGAGGCTGCACCCCGCTTCCCCATGGCAGCAGAGGGTCTTGACGAGGCTCCCTGCAGCGGTGGAGGGCCTAAAATGTAAGGAAGTGGTAGATTCAATTAAAATATTAAATAAACTTCCATATATTATATTTAATATATTTTAAACTAATTTATGAGTAGTTTAAGTGATTTACTAGTCAAGTTGCATCTGCTTCCCCACTCAGAGGTCTGAGTGGAATCTGCGCATGCATAAGCCCCACTGAGTTCAAAAACTTCTACTTTCCTGAGAGTAAACCCCAATGAATTCAGTAGGGTTTGCTTGTGAGTAGACATGCATTTGCTTTCACCGCTTACTGAAAAACACCCTACCCATCATACCTTGGGTTAAGTACTTAATTTGTTCTGGAGGTCTGTTCTTAACCTGAAACTGTTCTTAACCTGAAGCACCACTTTAGCTAATGGGGCCTCCTGCTGCTGCTGCGCTGCCAGAGCACGATTTCTGTTCTCATCCTGAAGCAAAGTTCTTAACCCGAGGTACTATTTTTTTGTTAGCGGAGTCTGTAACCTGAAGCGTCTGTAACCCGAGGTACCACTGTACAGTGGTGCCTCGCAAGACGAAATTAATTCGTTCCGCGAGTTTTGTCGTCTTGCAATTTTTTTCGTCTTGCGAAGCACGGTGTCGGGAAAGTTTTGGAAAAGCTTCAAAAATCACCAAAGTCTTTAAAAACCTCAAAAAAGCCTACCACACCGTGTTCTATGAGTTGCTCCTCGAAGTCAAGTCGCAACTGTATTAACGGTGTTAAGAAAAAGGAAACAAACTTGCAAGACGTTTCCGTCTTGCGAAGCAAGCCCATAAGGAAAATCGTCTTGCGAAGCAGCTCAAAAAACAAAAAACCCTTTCGTCTAGCGAGTTTTTTGTCTTGCGAGGCATTCGTCTTGCAAGGTACCACTGTACTCTCTTCATTTCTTATCAGTTAGGAGGGAGGAGGGAAGGAGCAAACAAAGCTGGAGACACCCTGCCTGCATATTATCTGTAAAGTATCTGTTCAGCTGAGCTACCCCCTGGGTAAGTTTCCACCTTTTGTTCACTGGTATATCACCTTCAACGATATGGTGATTTATTGCACATCCCTAGCATGTACAAGGCATCTTTCGGTGCTTCACCCCACTGCCCCAATTTCATTATTGCATTTTTATTTTGCTATCATCTACTTGTTGCAGCAGTCACCTTCAACATGGCTGACATGTTATTGTCACGGTTTCAGCCCTGCACAGACATCAAACCTGGAGTCTCAGAGGAGCAAAGAGAGTACCCCTCTTCCAGCTGTAATAAAAAATTTAAGGTCTTATATATATATATATATATATATTTGCTTTCGTAGATTTTCACGGGTACAGGAATGCAGGTTTTGGTGTCCTCGGGTGTCTTCCCCACAAAAACCGACACCAGATCCAGAGGCCACACAGAACGCCATCACCAATCAACCACACCAGACCAACCCAGACCTCTCCACGATAAATTACAGGACACACATCCAGTAGCCAAACCATAGTGGCACCCTCCGGATGCGGCACCCCCCTGCAAATCCCTAACAGATCTGGCTGGCACAGGGCACAAAACCCACCAGCTCGCCTCCTATATACCCGAAGCCCAAGCCAGAGGCCACAACTAAGTGCAGTACACCCATCTTCTCAGAAAAACTCTTCACAAAGTTCAAGAGGTCAAGACACGAAGGCTTTAGCAACTAATCCACACCTAATGACCCACCTAAGTGGTACTCAGAATATCACTCAAGAAATCACTCAAGATATCCCTCAAGTAATTAAGGAACAAAAGAAGAAAAGGCACACTAGCCTGGGAACTTCCTCTCTGCCCAGAACATTGGAGGCTATACACCACACCCCTCAACAGTATTTATAGGAACTCAAACACTGAGATCCTGCTCTGTTCCAGTAACAAGAAGCCGAAAGCACCAGCCTGAAGATGACGAGTGAGACCTCGTCGAAACGTCGCCTAGACACCCCAACTTTTACACGGGAAGACACCCGAGGACACCAAAACCTGCATATATATATATAATATATATATATATATAATGTTCATAAATGTACCAACCAAGCACGTACATAGATATGTGGACCACATGTCTGGAGCAGCACAGGAAGACAGTCCTGAAACCGTTTTGACTCCCAAACTGACCAAATGTTTTCTCTGCAAGGAGGGAGGGGGTGAGGGAACCTTCCCGTTGTCTCAGGAATTGGGTAATCACCATCTCAAAGGAATGGCCAGACTGCCAGGAAAGGCAATCAGATAACCTGGCAGACAGGAAAAACAACAACATTCAAATTCCTGTTGTAGACCGCCTTTTCTGTGATGTAGGTATGATGTTTGTGGGCGGTGGTCTTGGGTTACACCCCTTCTGTGATGTATGTGTGATGTATGGAGGGGTGGTCTTGAGCTCCAGGGAAGGCAATTTAAATGTCTATATAAGGGCAGGCACACCTTTGTTCTGGGTCCTCCTTTCTCCTGCGTGTGAGGGGAGCACCCTGTTGCAACAGTTCAATAAAGATCAGTCTTACTAGCTGCTTTGCTTCTCAGTATTCTCTGGTTGGCCTCTGTTATTTTCTCCTACCGATGGAGAACCTATAAAGGGCTCTATAATGGCTCTTGTGTCCCCCATAAGGGAATAAGGGCAGATTTGGTTCACAACACAGCAGATCACTGGATCCAGATATCCCTGCCCCACACCAGCCACCTGGGTTCCCACCAACCTCTCAGGATCCACACACCCCCTTCCACAAACATCTTTTTCTTTCTTTTTTATTGAATTTGTATCCCACCAGAGGTCATTGCCTCCATCCCTTATTAGTTTCAGTTTGTGGTTCAGTCTACATGCCCAATAAGAAAAAACTTCCAAACTGAGACATACTGTAGATGATGTTTATGATGATTATTATTTGGTGTGGCTATTCTAATAACTTAATCTTTTATTTGATTTGTATAGACACTGAACTATATCCTTGCTCTGGGATTGCATTTGCTTCCCTGGCTGCCTGGTTAACCTGGTCTAACTGTCCCAAGCCATGACCATATTAGCTGAGGCAGTTTGACATCTGAGAACAATGCAGATTCAGGTCTGTTTGAAAGGTTTATTCTTATACTGCCAGTCAGCAAGATTCAGCAGTCCACTCCTGTCCTTTCATTTCTGTCTGAATCTTGCCTGACACTCGGGGCATTTGCATTGCTCTTCTCCTCTTTTGCAGTGGCTCACTCGTGTTGTTTATAGTTCAAGACAGTGAAAATAAACAAGGTAATTTTCAGGTCACTTCCTGAGTTTTGCTTTTGTAAGACATCATCTTTAATAACTGTGTGTGTATTTCTTTTTGGCTGCTGTATATTAGCCATGATTCTAAATCTACTGAGTTAATGCCCCTGTCATTAGGTAAAATTTAGCAAAGCAAAAGAAAAGGCACTTACATTCTTTTAAATCCCAGTAGCTCAAAATATAACCTTATTATTAGACAAGAGATCAGTAGCTGTTTATTTTTCAGATTTGAAGAAAGAGGAAATAAATGCTTGTAACTAGTAGATCATGAGGACGGTATGAAAAACTGTGCATCCAATGGTATAATCGGTCCTCATGGGTCTATGGAGCAGCATATAATACTTGGAAGATGGAAAGAACAGATTGAGAGTCTGTAAGACTTCCACAACAGACTCGAGTGAAACCCAAAATGACAGAGCCAGGCTGTTCTGCTACAGGTAAGTGGAAAAGAGTGAACAATCTGCACTTTCCTTGCTAAATGCAATATACAAAGAACAGCAGCCCATTTTCAGTGAGACATGTAGAGCCCTGCAGATTTTTTTACACACTGGCCTTAACTGGCAGAAGCAGAAAGAAACTCAAACTTATCAAAAACTGCAGGTGTTCTTAAGAACGCTTATGCTACTGTCTTACCTAAGCTGGCCAGTTTTTATTAAAGCAGATGCAGGTGGTTGGGAGACGCATAAGGGTTTGTGTGCCTTGGGGTATGGAGTAAACTGCTGAGCAACAAGCCAGCCAAACAGTTGAAAATTTGGCCAGAATTGCCAGTCATTTTATGAAGGTTTTATCATTTGAAACCTCAAACAGATGGCACATGAAAAGCCATGGTGGTGGTGCCCTGCTAATCCAATCATCATATGGCATGCAGAGGACAGTTCCAAAGGGCTGTGTGAAAAGATGCAAAAAATTGAAGGTGGGAATAATTATAAACAAATGTGGGATTGCACTTCTCCAATATAGTTTTATGGATTTTTTTCCAAATTAGCTTTTAATTAAATAGTTGCATTGTTTCATGTATTGACTTCCCACCCTCACCGCCATTGTGTTTTTATTCAAACTCTTCCAATGCATTATATATCAAATTCTTGTCTATTACCAACTTCCTTCTAATACTTTATCATTTTTCTTCCACTGTTCCTAAGGGATTGCATTTTTCTTAATGAAAACAAAGAAGGAAGCTCATGATTACTGACAACACCAAGGTTGCAGGTTCGATCCCCGAAAGGGACAGCTGCATATTCCTGCACTGCAGTGGGTTGGACTAGATTATCCTCGGGGTCCTTTCCAACACTACAGTTCTATGATTGGTGGTAACATTAATGCCAAGTTGAAACATCTGGTTCAGGCTTGCATGAAATGCCAGCAAATGGCACCTTTTGTTCAGACAGAAGGTTGTGCTTGTGACAAAATGGGACCACTGGATATAGTAGGCACTGTTTGAAGCAGCTGCATCATCAGGTCCTCCCCAAAATGACTTGGCTGCATCCTATAGAACTGCCATCTTAAATCTTAGTATTTTCATGTTTGCGCTTTGGTCCTCCAGGCTCCAAATGCACATATCCAGGAATGCAGATAATGAAGAAAATGAGGGTGGGCTTGCTTGCTTACTTGTTTCACCTTGGGACTACAGAAAGCCCGAGTTCCTTTGCAGTGAGTGATGGATGCTGTCTTAGAAAAAGGCACTTCTTCCTTGACCATATCAAGTTCTGGTAATACTTCAGCCCCCTCAAACGGTCTGCATCAAGTTATTTATAGCCATGTTTTTATTGGAAAATTGCCATATACTGAGTAAAAACACTCAAGGCATCAAGGTATTGATTTTTTAGATGACATCAATATAAACAGCGCTGAATCTTCCTAGATTGTGTGTGAGGAAGTGTGAAGCGTTTTACGTGTAGCAGCAAATACACAGTTCCATTGAGTGTTTTGCTTACCAAGAAAGTAGGAATGAGAGTGAGGAATACCAAAAGGAAGACTGCAGCATTTATTTACTTGGTTACCCCAAAGTACCAACCATACTCGAAAAGATGCCATCTTATTCTGAGATTCATGAGTGTCTGGTTGCTAATTGGTTGCTGGGGGGGGGAGAGGGAGACAACAAAGTGCTGCTAACAGAACTGAGTTGTTGACTGTTTACTGTAAGGCGTCAGTGTGGTGTAGTGGTTAGAGTGTCAGACTAGCACCTGGGAGAGCAGAGTTCAAATCCCTCACTGAGTGACCCTGGGCCAGTCACTCTCTCAGCCTAACCCACCACATCGGCTTGTTGTGAAGTAAAGATGTAGAGAACTATGTCTGCCACTTTCAGCTTCTTGGTCGAAAGGTTGTACAGTATATAAATGTTGTAATAACTGGGGCATTATTTAAAAGCCAGATTGGTAAAAGGCAGCTTTTTCTTCACAAAATTTGAATAGTAGTCAAGGAAGTTTGAGACAGCATCTTGGAGCCTTTCCCCAGCTCTTTCGGACAGGTTTCAAGTTTGGTGACAAAAGGGCTCTATAATGGCTCTTGTGTCCCCCATAAGGGAATAAGGGCAGATTTTGTTTACAACACAGCAGATCACTGGATCCAGATACCCCTGCCCCACACCAGCTACCTGGGTTCCCACCAACCTCTCAGGATCCACCCCCCTTCCACAAACATCTTTTTCTTTCTTTTTTATTGAATTTGTATCCCACCAGAGGTCATTGCCTCCATCCCTTATTAGTTTCAGTTTGTGGTTCAGTCTACATGCCCAATAAGAAAAAACTTCCAAACTGAGACATACTGTAGATGATGTTTATGATGATTATTATTTGGTGTGGCTATTCTAATAACTTAATCTTTTATTTGATTTGTATAGACACTGAACTATATCCTTGCCCTGGGATTACATTTGCTTCCCTGGCTGCCTGGTTAACCTGGTCTAACTGTCCCAAGCCATGACCATATTAGCTGAGGCAGTGTTCTGATAAGGATGCAACCTAGGCACCAATGAAATCCGTTTAGCTAATTGATATTTTGCCTTTTAAACCTATCAGTTGATCCAAAGTAAATCACTATATCATGAAAAGTCATGGTAGGCCACTGCCGCCCGCCCCCCCCCCCCCCGGTCAAATTGCCTGCCTTGTTGATCTGATAAAGCAATGCAACAGGTAGAAGCATGAATGTGCATTCAGTGTGCATGGAGCCATGCTGTGCGTGAGCTGCTGGGAAGGCATCCATTCCAACTGGGTCTTTGAAATCAGACACTGGAAGATTCGAGCAGAGTTCAAAGCAAGGAATGCCAGGAATAGTTTAGCTGAAATGCAAATTAAACCCAGTGCTTGTCAAATGCTGTGATGTTGCCGCACAGTGGATGGAGGAGAAGGCCAGCCTTGGTGCTGTGACTAGCCTCAAGCTATGACTGAATTTGCTTACTCGACCACTGAGGGACTCTCTTGCCTCATACAGAACAAAAATGTTTAGCAGGGCTTCTAGATCCAACTCTATGAACACACACCACTATAGAAAACACAGTATACTTGACACAAATAAAAGATGAATGCTCTTGCGTAATAAAGCATCGGTTTCCATTCTGCCCCATGTCTTTCGCATGAAGTGCTGTTTCCATTCCACTGCAGTTTAGCTTCCAATGAAAACTACGTTATCTGTCTTGCTGCCGGCTGTGGCAAAATTCTGTGTAATTAATTACAATTATGTCATTCCACATCATTTAAATGCAAATGGAATGCAGTGCAAATGGGTGTAGTAGGTACTATTTGTGAACTGAAAACAACAGTGAATACTGATTGTATTGACTGGATTGATTTCCATTCCAAACATGGGACGAAAAAACAGACACAGTTAATTTCTGTTCTTTTCTGCTGAAATTCTCCAACAATCCGACTCTTCAGGTGTTTGTGCTTGTGCGTGTCCCAGGAACAAAACTGATGTTCCTGTGTGTGCATGTACATGGCTAGCCAATGATCAGGATGGCTGCTTCAGAGCACTAGAATCAAGAGACAAGCCCTTTTGGCAGGAAATCTTGAATCTTATCAGTGATATAATTAGATCTAATATAGCTTTAGACCCAAAGTAAATGTTCCTTGGTAGCCTAAAAGGTATCATTTGGAAGACAGATTTAAGAACTCGCTTTCACATTAATTCCAGCAAAGTTGGTGATAGCAATTAATCAGATACAATGTAACAGTACATGAAAATCTGAAATATAGTTTTTTACAAACTTAAAAGTACACTGCTGTCAGAGGAGGATGAGCTGATGATAGATGTATCAAAAGATGGAGTTCATTTATAAACTACAGTATTGGAATTTGAAATTTCTAGATAATATCCAGCTGTACACTTTAACTCAATGTGACCTGAAGTGATAACTGGATGATTGTTTCTGTATTATTTAAAGTGTGATATTATCATTATAGGCAGAACTTTCTGATTATATGTATGTATGTAAGCCAAGGGGTCCCAAAACTGTGATTGACAAACTTTATTTAGGCGAACTATAGCATGCCTGCATTAAATATTCATATTGATTTTAATTGCATTTTAATTGCTGCTTTTATTTCATATATTGTACTTTATTGTATTACAATTAGATTTGTGTGATGTACCCTTAAACCAACAATATATTATGAACTCATGAAGCTGTAACCACTAAAAACACACCAGTATCAATATTTCTCAAGAGGACTCCATGCTCTTTCACAAGCAAGCTGCCAAACATTTGGGCATCCGTTATAATTGGGGATCCCCCTTTCAACATTAAAATTCAGGGCCTGATGCCATGTTCTAGCATGACTCAAATATATATATATATATATATATATATATATATATATATATATGAGAGATCACTTGGAGCACTTAAGAGCTGAAGCTCTAGGTGAAGAGGAAGATTAGGCTGACAGCTCCAAATTCTTCTATTCGATGTATAAGTGATCCCACAGGTCCAAAACGAATTTACAAAACAACGGATCAGATATCAGGAATGAATTTAAATTGGGAGAGTGCACCAGCCGGAATATAATTCAGCCCCCAATTGGATGGTTTAGGAAACAGTCTGACTAGGCTTGGAACAACTTGGAGGCTTTCCAGTTCAGCTCTGATGTACCAGTTCGGGAAAACCAAAGATCTGTTCCTCTCTGTTCACTCTTAGGGGAATTAAAACAAAAAACAACGGCTATTACTCCCCCTTCCCTTTTGACGGAATTGGATGAAATTTACAGACGGGCGTTGGGGGCTTGGGTTCGAGCCGTCCGTCGCTTCTCCCCATCACAGCAGGCCTGTCTGGTTAATTTTCACTCACCCGCTTTTGAAGGTTTGTGGCCTTATGGCAAAAACGCAGAGAGGCTTTGCTATCGCTGGCCAGAAGCATATCCCATGTTTAACTGGCCCTGAATCCTCGAGATGCCCGTCTTTCCCTGGAGCCTTCCTGCAGAGGAGGAAGTCCTCCCCCCCCACCCCTTGGGTTGTTCTCCCTTGGCGGTTGCCTCCCCCGCCCCCGTTCCTCTGAGCACATGCCTGCCTTTTCTACCCCGCCCCCCTCCTTTGTACCGGGACCCGTAGAGGGTCGAGGCCAAAGGCAGCAAGAGGCGAGCTCTCGGCAGTGCCCTGGAGAAGCGCTCTCCCTCGCAGGCAGGCTACCGGCCGGGCCCCCCAGCAGTAAAAACCCGGGACTCTCCCGGCCTGCAGTCTTCTCGGGGGGGCGGGGGGGTCCTGCTGCTGCTGCTGCACCGGAGCGCTTGTAGACACCGCCGCCGTCGCTGCTGCTGCTGCTGCAATAACTGCGGGTGCTGCGCGCCCTGGTCACCCGCAGCAGCAGCAGCAGCAACTGCAAACGCAGCGCCGGCGGTGGGCTCGAGGAGGAGTCGTCCAAGAGCGACCCTCCCAGGCGGCGCCCTATTGGTCGGCGCCGAAGCCCGTCAGACGCGTTGCGGCGCTGGGATTGGCCTTTGCCGCGGTCGACGGCCGCCCTAGCGCAACCTTCCCGCCTCTCCCTCGCTGCGCCCGACGCCGCTGCACCGCTCCAGCCTCGCGCCCGCCTCCTCCCGGCCGGGCTTTGTGCGGACGGAACGCGAGGAGGAGGAGGAGGCGGCGGCAGAAGCAGCGGCGGCGGCCAAAGGCAGGCGCCCACCATGTGAGAGGCCCGCTCGCCGGCCCGCCGGAGCCGCGCCGCCTCCCCGCAGCAGCTCCTCCTCCTCCTGGTGGCCGGGCTGCCGGCAGGCAAAGATGCTCAGCCGGCTGATGAGCGGCAGCAGCAGGAGCCTGGAGCGCGACTACAGCTGCACCGTCCGCCTCCTGGACGACAGCGAGTACTCCTGCACCATCCAGGTGCGTCCCGGCGCCGGGAGACCGACTGACCGACCGAATGTGCAGTGGGGTGGGGGGGTGGGGGGATGATAGGACCGCCGCCGCCTTTCCGGGCACCCGCGCCCCGACGAGCCCGCTCGCCTCCTGCCCCAGCCGTCGGGGAGGCAGCGGGGATCTCCGCCCGTTCTTCCGCCCGCCTTGCCCAGCTCGCCGGAGGGCAGAGCGGCGCAACTTCCCCGCTGGCAGCGCTAACTTTGCAGGCGGCGGCGGCGGCGCAGAACAAAGCGGAGGCGAGACCTGTGGCTCTCCTGCCGCCGCCGCCGCCATCCAGGCGAAGGAGCCGCGCGCTCCTTGCCTCGCTTTCTCTCTCTCTCTCTTGGGGCGCCGTCCGGGCTGGCGTTGCACCAAAAGGGGGGCGGGGAGAGAATTCCGCCTCGGCTGCAAAGCTCCGTGCCTTTTTGGCTAAAAGGGGGTGGGGGGGGGAGGGGGTGGCTCCCCCACCCGTCGGTGTTCCGTCCCCAAGGGTGGGAAAGGAGCTGTAAGGGAGACCCAGCAGACCCGGGGTGGTAGAGAAAGGGCAGAGCGCCCGAGAGAAGAGGGGCGCCCATAGGTGCCTGGAGAGCACAGACATATTGGAGGCTTCTGCTTAGCCTGGGACCGGCGAAAATCTGGGCAAGAGGGGGGCGACCTCTTTTGTCTCCAGAGAGCGGGGCATGGAACACCCTCTCTCCCTTTGGGGGCCCCTCCTGGCTTCCAGCAGGGCGGGCTCCGTAATTGGGTGCAGCCAAGAGCCTGAAAACACCCCAGGCTGGCTAGCTCCCGAGAGTGGCAGATCTTCTTAGGAGAGATAACGACGTGCCCACAATTCTTTCGCCTTTAATGGGGTTGGATGCATCTTATTTTTCTTTAATGGGGATGCTCGCTGAACTCTTTCTGTTTGCATTGCCATCATCTTGGGCAGAGGGGAGGAGGGCCAGATCATTAAGACTTATGGGCAGCAGCCGAAAGGCTGAGGGCCCCCCCCCTAGCCCAGGGTGGGCTCAGTAGTTCCTCTCCATTACATGGAGGCATTAAATCTCATGGGGGCCCTTTTTCAGACTCCCCTGGACCCACTGTTTAGTCTAGAACCCAGAGGTTAGGCTATAATTCCCACTGACACCTACTTTACTTTGTAGGCTTTTGTTGATCTAGCCAGAGTTTTCCCCATGATCCCCCCTCCCCCAATCCTTGAGGACTAGACACTTTTTCAGTTTTCACTTGAAGCAAATGGTGCAGTTCTCATGTTGTGCTTGAGCAGTAATGTCCTAGGTAGGAGATTTGGAGAGAGGGGGAGATATTGAAGCACCTGCTCAGGTGATCTGTAAAGGTAATCGGGCAGATTCTCTTCAAGGTCACTGGAGGAACGACACCCATGCCGGAGAAAGTCTCTCTTTACACAGTCTGCTCTCTTCTCTCCTCTCCCGCTTTTTTTTTACATGTTGCATTGTCAGCGCGTGTCTGTTTTACCCCTAAGGATGTGCATTCATTTTTCTTAGGTGGCATTTCTCTTTCCACATTGTCTGTTGTGAGCACAAAGGCCTGGATGTGGCTTAATCACAGCACCCTCAGCAGAAGGGGGGTGCGTCCCTTGTGTGTTTCCAAAAGCTGATGTACCATTTCAAGTGAGAGCCCAGGTGGACTGAAGGCAGCTTCATCCTTGGACTCTTCTGAACGAATGTGGGTCTTGCCAAGCTCGTAGTAGCAGCAGCTGCTGCTACTGCTGCAATGTGTGAGCAGGAGCGAAGGCTGGCAAGGTTTGGGGCTGAATGTGTAATTCATGCATCACTCCAGCTGCCTCTAATAATGCAATCCACGTTGCCTTGGAAGTAAGACCTGCTATGTTCACAGGGGCTAATTCGTAGGTAGGAGTGCACTGCAGCCTAATTTTCCTCTGGCTTTCTCTGTGCATTGGTAATGCCAAGTATTGCAAAGCCCCCTAGGATGTGTATCTGTGTCTCGATATTGCGTGTAGACATCTACAATACATTGTTGGCTTATTTGCTACAAGGAAGAGTTTTGGGACACAATATTCTTGCTTGTAACCAGAGGGGGGTGGGCATTAACAGATGCTGGTTTCAGTCATTTGCCGAGGGAATATTCTTTGTTCTGTGGATCTCTTTTCTGCCACACTCTTCAGATGACAAACTGACTCCTTGTTTAACCCCAATTGACTTTTGTGTATGCTTAATCTGGGATAGAATGTCTATCAGGTAAATGAAGTGGATGAACAAGGTTGCAAGGTGGGGGCCACACGGCATATAATGTTTTGGTTTTGGCTTCTGGTGGGGAAAAAAATTGAAGCCACCTTTTGCAGTTGATGGAGATTTCTGCCTCTTGTGCTGCTGCATCCAGTGTGTGATCCAATTGCTTGGTTCTGGTGGTTCCGCTGCACTGAGGATAGAAATGATTAGCTGGTGTTCCTTTAGCCACCTGGGTGGCTGCAGTCACATCTGCGCCTGTCTGTTTGTGTGGATCAGGGGGAGAGAGTGAAAGATTGTGAACCCTGTTTTTCGCATGCTCGGTCTGAGGAAAAGCATTTGCAGGCTGTGAGAAATGGACATCTGTATGCACAATGGTGATGGGTAATGTTTCACAATCGAGAGGAATTGCTGCCTGCTCGGTGTGCAGTCTTGCAAACCGAGAGTGAGTTCTGAAGGTCATTCCTTTGGAAAATGCCGAATCCACTTACTTGGGTTCAGGGATTTGGTTTCAAGAGCATTTTTAAAAAAAACACCTATATGCACCATTTTGACTTTTTAAAAATATGAATGCAGGTATATGCACTTTCTTGTCCTTCATACTGTTTTAATTAAGTCAGGCAAAGAATAATAGGTTTCCAAGACAGAAGATATATTTGAACACTCACTGTTGGAGATTTAGTTGAAATGATTTGTATAAATGATCTGTCCATACTCATGGCTGTGCTGTGTTTGGATTGGGGTGGTGGATTCAAATGATGGCAGAGCCCATCTGAAGTGCGTGTCCCTTTTTGTGTTGGGGAGCATTTGCCTTTGAGGGAGGGTCCCGCTCCGCTTGTCAGAAAGACCCAGTAGTCTTCCAGATAATAGTGGATATGAATCCATCAGCACTTCTGGGGGGCTCCTGAAAAACTGGCAGTGGTACAGTTCTGGTTTGTGCCTGACCTGTGATGGAGAATAAATCCAGGTACCACATTAGATTATTTTTAGAG